TTAAATACACACTACAATGCCAATAGTTTAAAGCGATTTGAAGCATGTTTTATTTTCAAAATGGAAGTATGGTTTTTTTTGGGGGGGGGCGGGGGCAGAGCTTTGTGACGTCATATTTGAGGGGGGGGGTCTGACTTTTTGTGACGCCGTGTGACGAGGGGGGGGGGGTCAAAAATCGTCCAAAATCGCGTGACGTCATTTCCGCGCGTGCATCAATGGCCGAGATGGCATTCAAACGCGAGTCTCTAACAACTAAAATGTGCATTTAGAAGCAAAGAGAGAGAGAGAGACGGTCGGGGCTGTGGCCGCGTGCGAACCATCAGCAGGCGCTGATGTAAATCTGTCCCCAAACCAATGCAGTTCAGCACCGCGTGTGGCGGACAACGCTGAAGGCCGCCTGCTTGGTGACGCCTCTGTTCCGGGCGACGACTCGGCACCACTTCGCCATGGCCTGCAGTGAAACTGAGGGCCCATAGGCACAGTGCGCTAACCATGCCCACGGCACGTGGCAGGCAGGCACTGGGTCGGTCGTCGCTGCATACAAAGCACCGAACAGGGGATTCATCTGCGATCCTTCTGGACATCTGTGGGGGGGGGGGGGGGAAACACAACGTCGTAGGTCATTGGAGTTTTTTACAGTCTAAATAAAGATTTGCGATTGAGATTTTGAACCAGGAGGAGGGCGATTGACTTTAATTGCTAATTGAACCACTTATTGTAAAATATTGTAAAACGTTGTAAATGTTGTGGGCTCACGCAGGAATGTCTGTCCTTAAAGCGCGTGACGTCACTCCACATCGACGATTCCCCCCTCATTAATATTCATGAGCAGGTGACGTCCTCCAAATGGACACCCCCTCCCCCCAACACCCCTCCACATTAATAATTATGAGCGGGTGACGTCACTCAATATGGAGTACCCCCCCCCCCCTCACTAACAATAATGCGCAAGAGACGTCACTCCACATCGAACAGCCCCCTTTCATTAATAATCATGGACAGATTACGTTCTCCACATGGACCCCCCCTCATTAATAATCATGAGCAGGTGACGTCACTCCACATTCCACATGGAGCACCCTCCCCAATCATTAATGATCATGAGCAGGTGACGTCACTCCACATCGAACAGCCCCTCTCATTAATAATCATTATAAGGTGACGTCCTCCAAATGGAAACCCCACCGCCATGAATAATAATTAGCGGCTGACGTCACTCCACATGGGGGGCGAGGCGCCTCCTCCCCCCTCTTCGGCGTCAACTCACAGCCCTCACTACAAAGGCAGAAAGCTCACGTCATCACGTCACGTGATCTCCGTCACGCTGTTGTTGAGACATCGAAGTAAAAAGGACGTCATGACGAACGAGGGATTATAACCTTGATTTAAAGCTTTCGTGACTGCAGGAATCCATACGCTCGTCTCTCACCTGAAGACGATTGCTTGCGTTGCGATCGAAACGTCGTGATTTTTTATTTCTATTTACGTGACTTGACCGAAAGACCAAAAGAGTAAGGGATTATAACCTTCAAATGAAATAAGTCTGTGTCACCGCGGGCCTTACAAATTGCATCACGAATTCATGCAATGAATATATCACGTCGCACTCTGCTTTTCGCTTGCAAGTTTCAGATTTACTGCAATACACCCGTCCTTGGACGGGCAAAAGGCTATTTGGTGATTGCTGCTGGTGCGTTGGCAGTGGTGAACAATCACTAATTAAGCACACATTCGTCAATGATAAAAAAATAAAAAAACATTACTCGTCATCATACGATAATGGAACGAGTGTGAGTTTGTTACTCTGTCCGCAATACTTTTTAAAGGCCATTTTTTTGAGCGCTTTACATTTGTGAAACGTTATTAACGTTGACAGAAGTGTTGATTTTGTGTATGTTTGTACATCATTTGGGGTAATGGCCCTTCTTCATTGCGCAAGAAGGGCCATGGCTCGAAACGTTGCGTGTTTTATATACACATATTTCATGTACATAGATTTTATGTACACATTTCATAGACACATTTAATGTATATATTCTATTTACGCATGGTATATACACATATTTAATGTACATATATTGCATGCACACATTTTAGATACACATTTTATGTACATATAGTTTATGTTCAAATTTGAATACATATACTTTTTGAACATATACTTTATGTACACGTGTGCAATGTGCACACATTTTATGTACACATGCTTTATGTGCATATATTTGATGTACACATGTTTTATGTACACATTTTTATATACACATTTTTATATACACATATTTCATCTACCCCTTTTATGTACAGCTGTGTTTTGTACACACATTTCATATATACATATTTTACGCACACATATTTATGCTTTAAAGCCCACACAGTGTTATTGACGTATTTGTTGAGGTGTGTTTTGGCAATTGCTAATTTCGGGAAATTTACAAGACACATTCAATCAATTTACATTGCGATCAAGACAAGCCTAATGGTGTAATTAATTTGTATATATATTTGGGGGGGGGGAGGTAAAAGAGCAGTCCCGTGTTTGTGGGGGGGGGGGGGGTCTACCACGTACAGGTGACAAGCGTGCAGCAAGGAGAGGTCAAAAAGTTCTGAGCGGATCTGACCTCTTGTTTATTTCGCATCGTCCCTGTGACTCGAAAATGCAATCAGTCGATTTGTTTTTCATTAATACTTCTGTAATTCCGTAAGTAAATAAAAACCGGCATGGGGGAAGTCTCGAACGTTGGGTAACGGTGGTTATCCCACCTAAGCCCACCAGAGTAACGACTCCCGATTGCGGCTCGCATCAGCTCGCACAGTGATGTACCCGAACCAGCTCCGCGTGTTCCACGTTGACCAAAGCAACCTCCCGAATCGCACGACCAAACGTGGATTTGGAGGGAGGGAGTCACTTCGCGACAAACGTGTCTTTCGTCGACTGTGCTCCCAGTGAAATTCACAAAACCACCTGTCCTTCTTGAGCCTCTCCGCCTACCTCATCTAGACAGATGATGATGATGGTTATTTAGTTAATGTATTCGAGCCGGGGAGATCGGCAAACATTCGAGAGTAAACATTCGCCTGCCTCCCACTTTATTAAATGGATCGTGCGTGAGAGCCAGGGTTATATCCATGATTTCGAAGCCAACATCTACCTTTGATTGAGCTGTTTCTGTGCGCGTCGAGGTTCCGCTTGCATTCTAATTAAGTTACCCGCCCCGCGATCAGCGAACGTACCGGGCCGCATGTAATTCTGCGCTCCCGCTGAACACTTAATCAGCGCCCGGGCAAATTCCGTGGCTCATCACTTCGCCTGGGTGTAATTTCTCCCATGCCCCCAAGGAGAGCATCATTAATTCTCAGGGGTGGCTGTGTGGATTATAGAGTGGAGGGCGGTGGGTCATAATTTGACGCGTTAAAGTTGCCAAGCCAGCCCACTGAGATCCCGGGCTAAGTAAGAAACGAGACACACTTTGATCGTCAAACTATATTGTCTAACGTTTAGGTGACCTCAGTCCGATTACACAGGACTGCAAAACACAACAATTTGATCTAAATAGTTTTGAATTGTACAATGTGTTCAGGCATTTGCGATTGTATGAGTAATTTAGCGGACGGTGTGCTGTGACACGTGACACTCACCTGGCCGCTGTCAGACACTCACATCACACACCACCACTTCACGAGTTTATACGAAAACACAGACAGACGATTGTAGTGCTGGGTACAACTGCATTTGCCAATGTGATTTGTAACTGTCTTCTTTACCCGTGTATCGATAGTTCAATGTCAATGTGAAATTTATTACAGGCAGCAAAACTACGCGAACTCTCTCGCTCCTAAAGCCCTCTCGCGGCCAGCAGACATCGGCATTGAGCTCCTGGGGCGCCGCAGTGGCGAGATGTTAACTACCTCGCCTGGTATACAGGAGGTCGTGGGTTCGACCCCAACCCTGACGCCTACTGTATATTTGGAGTTTGTGTCTCTCTCATCATCATCATCACGGTGGCTAGGAGATGTTAACTACCTCGCCTGGTATACAGGAGGTCGTGGGTTCGACCCCAACCCTGACGCCTGCTGTATATTTGGAGTTTGTGTCTCTCATCATCATCATCACGGTGGCTAGGAGATGTTAACTACCTCGCCTGGTCTACAGGAGGTCATGGGTTCGACCCCAACCCTGACGCCTGCTGTATATCTGGAGGTTGTGTCTTTCTCATCATCATCATCACGGTGGCTAGGAGATGTTAACTACCTCGCCTGGTATACAGGAGGTCGTGGATTCCACCCCAACCCTGACGCCTGCTGTATATTTGGAGTTTGCGTCTCTCCCCGTGGTCGCGTGGATTTTTGTCTCCAGGTTCTCCGTTGTTTCCCTCCACGTTTAGAAACGTGCGTTTGGAGCATTTGGCTGCTATGAATTTCCACGCGACGATAAGCCACTTCAATGGGCTATCATTTGTGGCTGGGTAGCTTCCCAAAAAAATAGCTACGTAGCTCAGTGAGCCTTACCTGGTACATTAAAAAAAAATCTTAGTTTTTTTAGTTTCAATCGCAGGGCCGCCATCTATTCGCGAATGTTGGCGCCCCGAAGGAGTTGTTCCGTATCGTGCGGTGCTACCACCCTCTGCTGTCTGCCTTGCGAATAGCCCAGCCAGTGAAGGGAGGCTATGGGGAGCGAAGCGCGCTGTTTGTTTCGGTTGCAGCAGAGGTGCTGCGGGTTTTGTGGCGATGCTTTATTACAACAGCGCCGACGCTTAGAGTGGGGTGGTGGGGGTGGTGGTGGTGGTGGTGGTGGGGAGCGGGGGTCCCGTGGCGTGTGAAGGCAATTGCAGGGCTGCGCCTTTGTCGGTTTATTACGAACACCATCAGCGGCAAAATAATAATAATAATTTGCGACTCAGATTTCAACCGACTTAAAATGTTTTATATCATTACACAGAGAGAGAGAGCGCACACACGCGCGCACGTCACACATACGTCACACACACACACACACGTCACAATAGAGTCGACGTTTTGTTATTGTAAAAACAAATCAGCCTCCCTGCTGACTTTCATAACAACATTTGACTGCACGTAAAACAATGACAATTGCATTGGTTATTTTGAAACATACCTTGCAAACCCTTAAGAGTTCGAGACAAACAAACATCGCCATTTTAAACGTTGCATTCACCGCCTGAAACAGATTCAGCAATCGATAGAGTACAGCACTGTACAGAATATGAAGATTGTCTCAGAAAATCCATCGCCATCCTTCCCCGAATGCTATTTATTATTTAGGCTGGGATATTCATACGCGGTGGGTTGAGGTCGGCTGAGCGCTTCTGTTGGTTACGTCGCAGGACCGAGAGAGATAGCGACAGCTTCGAGGCCTTCATCCAGCAGTGGGTCGATCATGGCTGACGACAATGTTGATGATGATGATGATAAAGTGCTCCACCTCGTGAAAGCTAATGGAACAATTGAAAAGGCAGAATGTACAGCGACACTGAAGAGATCATTGGCAATATTTAAAATTGTGCCCGCAACGTGAATTAAACTGCTGCATAATAATGACGCCCTTAATCCAGGAAAAACCTCACAGTCTCAAACACTCGATACCAATGATCGCTTTAATTAAGTGGCGAATCTGATCACACGAACATATTTAGGGTAAGAAAAGTCTCACCTGAGTTCCCACGCATGTCGCTGGACGGGAGGTGATGGACGGGCGTGGCCTTAGCGACGTTATCGGCATCACTGGCCGTGTCACGCTGGCCGTGGTTTGTCTGGGGTTTCCCGCCTTCGGCAGGCAGGAAGTCTGGGTGGCCGTCATTTACAAAATATCCCGAGTAATCGACCGCAAATAAAGCAGTCAGTTATAATTATTTGTCGATGAATGAGCTGAATCGACTCGTATTCCAAGCTCCAAACTAACTGCGCACGCCATTGGAACCTCCTTTGCCAGTAGCAAAATATGATTATTGTTTTTTTTTTACCATTTTATCTGGCAAACAAAACTAACACCTTTTTTTTACACGAGGAATCATGTTTGCATTGACCACAATATCTGCGGTCGGAACGCAAACGTTCCATTTTGTTAACGCTTATACAATTTCATTCCACCTTTCTCAAGTGCATTTTACCAAGCCATCTATCCGTTGCCATTACAGCGACAATCACTCGATCTAACCCGGTACATCATGTACATCATTTTAGGAATACAATTCGTATATATTTTTTCATCTTTAAAACGAGTCCTCTTTGAGTCCGTAGTCGTGAGGGCTTGAGTACGCCTTCGTTTTGATGTTACGTTTTCTGAAAATAACACAGCAACACAATCAATTCCATTACTTGCAAATCCTCCAACCACAGACACGCAAAGCTCTTGCACGGTGTGCAAGAGCTTCAACATATATACATACATAGGCTGTGGAGGCAAGTGCAGTTAGGTCGGCAAGGCACACGAGAGGGTGGGTGGCCGACGCCACTTCCAGCCGCCTTTGTATCCCCAGTACCGATGTGTACGCACCGCACCGGGTGCTCACGTAAGGCGGAGTTGGTAGCCTTGGTCGGTAATTGAAATAGGTCACCGGGGATCCGTAGCTCCAGTGTGCCACCCACGACACCACACGCTCGCACGCATCACGACATGTGCGCCCAGCTCCAATATCAAAAGAACGATGCCATCAGCGCCAGCAATATCACTCCGCTCTCTTTCTCCCTCGCTCTCAACTCCTTCGCTCGTACGCGTTCACTTTTGTTCCTTAGCCGGCGCTGGTGTCAGTTTTGTTCCAGACAGACGCCGAGGGATGTCAGAAGGGCAATGTCATTCTGTTCGGCTAAAACCCGGCCGTGGCGAGGATCGGAGTTAGGGTGCCACGGTGGCGAGATGTTGACTACCTCGCCTGGTATGCAGGAGGGCATGGGTTCGATTCCGATCCCGATCCTGACGCCTGCTGTATATTTGGAATTCGCATGTTCTCCTTATGGGTGCGTGGATTTTTCTCCGAGTCCTCCGGTTCCACCCCCCCCCCCCCAAATTTAGAATAAACATCACGCGTTTCGAGTATTGGACTGCATTTACATTTCCCCACGATGATAAGCCACTTCGTGGAACTATCAGTTGTGGTAGCCAGGTCGCGTCGGAAAAAGAGCGAAACAGCTATGTGGGGCTTACCTGGTAAAATAAAAAAAATATAATTTTTGTTTATTTCCATCTGCAGGAGACGTTGAGGGGGGGGGAGGGGGGAAGGGGACCTCACCTTTTTATGGCAAACACGACCAAGACGACGGTGATGGTGATGCCAAACAGAGCGCCGAACACGGCCGCAGCTACCGCACCTGGGCCGGAAGGAAAAGCGGCGGTGACGAGGCGGTTCGCGGTTCCAGCCCAGCGGACGCCCTGGTTAATGCGGCGCGATGAACTGCACGCCGTCTGCTTCGTAGTGGACGTTAAAGATAATGTGAGAGCTCGTGAAAAGATTGGAGGGTAGGATCAGCGATAGGGTTATGGTTAGTGATACGATCGGTGGTTGGGGTTCGTGATAAGGTTATAGTTAGTAATACGATCGAAGGTTAGGGGTTGAACGGTGGCGAGAAAAAAGTCAGTGCGGGCTTGGATTGGACGAAGTGACGCCAGGGTGGCGAGATGTTAACTCCTTCGCCTAGTAAGCAGGAGGTCGTGGGTTCGATTACGACCCTGACACCTGCTGTATACTTGGAGTTTTCGTGTTCTCCCTGTGGTCTCGTGGATGTTTTTTTCTGCGGGTCCTCCGGTTTTCCTCTCCGCATTTAGAACAAACGTGCGTTTACATGATTTAGCTGCTCGAAATTTCCACGTGATAAGCCACTTCGCTGAGCTGCCATTTGTGACCAGGTCGCTTCCGAAAAATAAGCTGATAGTTCAGTGGGCCTTACCTGGCAAGATACAAATAGTTTAGTTCTATCTATACATTTGTAAAAAGTTATTTGTTTACCTTTCCTATACTTTGCATTCCTATCGTGTTTTTTTTCTTCAAATTGTTTGTTGTTGTAACGTTCTGACGAGCCCCTACTGGACATCTGTGAAAAAGAGCTTCATAGCTCATCGGATTCTTCCAGTATAAATACACATTCTGATTCTGAACGAGTGATGGTTGCTTTGGCCGGATTCTAACTCACGAGTCTCAGCGGTGCTGGCTCAGGGCCAGGATTCCTGAGTCACCGAGCCACGTCCATAGGCTCTGCTAGTGCTTTGCAAAATCAGGAGCTGATGAACCCGACGCGGCAAATGCGTTGCTGAATTTGCGACGACTTTCGGGTCGCTGTTGTTTCCTTACCTTCTCTGAAATGGTCATTATGATCTCCAACAGCTCTGTCTGTGAACAACAAACGCCACACGCGGTTGAAGAGCAGTGATTTTTTTTTAATTATTATTCAAGAAAGCCACGAAGAGTCTTCAAACTCTTTTTCAGGATTGTCCCGTTCGTTGGCGTTCGTTCGGGTTCGGGCTGGGCGCAAGACATTGGAGCATGGTACAGTGCAACGGCAGATTTCACTGCATTGCCCTCCAATGACAACGAAGCCCCAGGGTGGCCTGTCGGCCCTTTTTTCCATTGGCACATCCAAGCCGAGCCATTGCAGGGCCCTTCTGGCACGGGTGATTTTCCACTGCCGACATGCCATGCCGAGCCAAAACATAACCACCCCACGCTGGCCTCACAAGATATGTGAACGTGGCCCGGTACCAAGCAGAGCTATGGGCCCCGGCGATGGATGCGTCTGTTCCGCGTAACATCGGTCGCCTACTGACACACCGCGTCATCTACAGACGTTTGGAAACGTTCACGTTTTGTGGGTGACGTCAGCGGCTCGGCACGGCTCAGCTTGGCTTCGGCAGTGGTACAAAAAAAAACAACAACCATGGCACCTCCCACGCCGGGCTGGCTCGGCACTGGCCCTGGCGCGCGGCTCTGTTATGCCCGCAGGAAAAAGAGATACGGGTCTCCGCATCGCAGCCATCGCCGCTGCCGTAGGGGCGAGCGAAGCGGCGGGCCGGCGCGCGTTGCAACCTTGGATCTCGGGGTGGATGAGGTGCTGGCAGACGTTGGCGCACGTCTTCTGCTCGACGAATCGATTGCCGTTGCCCCGGCAGCCACCGTAGGTGAAGTTCTCGCAGCGCCGCCGCTCCACGTTGAAGAACCACAGGCGGAAGTGGGCCCTGCAGGAACCCGTGTCCTTCGGCAGCAAGCACACCTCGGCTATGCACGCAGAGACGACGCGCTGTTAGCGAGCGCCCACGAACCCTTCCCGTTCCGATGACGTACCCGCACGTCATCAGTTTTTTTCTTCCCATTGCATTCCGATGACGTTCATGTGCGTCATCGAAACGGAATCAGAAGAAAAACTAAAATAACTTTATCGGTAACGAGGCTCCCACAATGCCATGCGGGAGGCAGTGTGGCACAGTTTGGCGTCAGCTATCATAGAGTGCGGTCGTGTCGCTACGATTTCTCTGCGGTGAGTATAATGTCTTTAAAACAATTGTGCTACGCCTCTCTAAATACCCACCTTGCAACTTGCAGACGTCTCAGAACGGGAAGAGGGTTAAGGCCAGCGCGGGCAGGTAAATCATCACTGTCTCATGACATCACTGTGAAATCACTAACCATACGTTGCCAATGCAGTGATACCACTGGAGTGCAATTGAGGCGCACTAGAACTTAATTGTGAAGTCTATTTTTGTCAGCAACACAGATTGCAAACTCAGCGTACGAATTAAACTCAGAAGAAGAAAAAAATGCAATTATACCGGGCTCCAGACATTAAACTTCACAACCTGAAACTTTCTCAAAGTTCTCGTCGTCGACTACCGAACAAAAATAGACGTTCGAAAAGCCGTGCAGTTGTGTTTTTTTGATCCAACGCCTTCTCCTTCTGGTCCATATCTCCATAACCGAGGTCTCCACTCCACACCGCCACCACCACCACCACCACCCTTCCGATCAAAGAAAAAAAATACTGCCAATACTCATATCTCCCGTCGAAATTTCTGATGCCAAAATGTTTTTCCACTCTACAGTTCATCTCGAGCTGACTGCCTGCAGTGCCGGTCCTCTCCTACTGCAATAGGTGAGAGGGCATTATATCCCTGGTGATACGCTGCGCCGAGTGCCACCGCTTGTCAGAGCTTCGATGAAATCTCAGAAATCCGTCCGCACTCCTCCAACTCTGGGCTCATTATATTGGCTGTCAGTTCTGTTTCAAGCAACGGACATTTTAACGCCCTAGTTTTTTTTCCGACTCGTAAGACGCTAAATGGCCATGCTCCCTCTTTACCAGACTCAACTCCTGTCCCTTCACGTCACAAATTTCCTCTTTACAAACGTTCGACGCGAAGAAAAGGCTCATTTGGTACAAAATGTGCACGAGGCGTGAAGGAACGCTTCACGTTATACGCCGAACCGCGTTGGTTCTTAGCAATCAGAACCAGTTGTGCAGTGGGTTGAGCTCTCCGTCCGCCGCTGATCCCCAGTAACCTGAGTTAGACACCTGGCCACTGCTAACTTGAGCGGCACCCAGCGGTTCGCAAGGGGTGCACCCGCGTGTCCGAGTAGGGGACGTCCATAAATGACGTCACGCGATGTTGGACAATTTTTGACCCCCTCCCCCTCGTCACACGGCGTCACAAAAAGTCAGACCCCCCCCGCCTCAAATATGACGTCACAAATCTCTGCCCCTCCCTCCCCCCCCGAAACCATATTTCCATTTTGAAAATAAAACATGCTTCAAATCGCTTTAAACCATCGTCATTGTAGTGCGTATTTAATGTGGCGCTGCACTCTGATGTTGTAGGAGTGTTGTTATAACAATTAGTGTTGTTATAACAATTAGTGTTGTTATAACAATTCCATATTTATTTAAAGTTGCGCATTTTGATGTTACGTCACATTTCTCAAGGCCCCCCCCCCCCCCCCCCCTCGTCACACATCGTCACAAATGTCTGACCCCCCCCCCCCCCCCGGTGCGTGACGTCATTTATGGACGGCCCCGTAGACCAAAATACCATCTGGAAATGCTCTTTAGAACTCCCTCCAGCTGAGCAGTGGCGCGAGTGAGAAATTGCAGGGCTGCACCTTTGATCGTTTGCACCTTAACGTGCCTCGAGAATTTACCCATGAAGCAACAGCGCAGTAGGAACTATGGGCACTCGGAATCAGTCATTCTACTCTACCCAGCGGCGGTACAAGACGAAGGAGCAATATTTGTTCGTGAGACTAGCAGCCCGAACGTCCGTTGGACGTGGCCGTCAGTCCGTCCATCTATCCCTCCCTCTAGCCGCGCAGCCAGCAAAAAAACTTTAAAATATATATCGTACAATAACATCACGTGTGGCGAGAATAGAGATGGAGATAACAGCGGACAAGCAACAAAATACATCGGGAGATAATACGCCTCCTTCACACACGTCCCTTACGCTAAAAAAAGTTTTTTTACACATCCCATCAGCCGCATGGCCTTCTGGGAGTGCACACCCTCAGCAGGATTGGTTTAACACAAGCAAGACTATTCTAGATTTAAAGCTTTCGTGACTGCTAGGATCCATACTCTTTGGTTCTATTGGGTAAAGTCACGTAAGTGAAAATAAAATAACAAAAAATCACGACGTTTCGGCCACAACACAAGCGGCCTTCATCAGGTGAAGAGACGAGACTGGAGGACAGCGCTGGAGTGAGAGAAGCCATGCTTAGATCACGACCTTTAAGCTGTTTGAGAAGAAAACATAAAGCGCCTTGACAAAGGAATTAGCATATAATTTAGCATTGAAATGGCTCATTGAAATAGCTAAGTTAAAGTATACACATCCGCAGAGGTACCCCTTGACAAAGGAATTAGCATAGAATTTAGCATTGAAATAGCTGAGTGATTAGCTTGTAACTGGTCACAGAAATAGCTATGTTAAAGTCAGAGCATATACATTCACCGAGGCACCTAGTACTCATCAAAGAATGCTAAGAAACCCATTAGTAACATCAGCAAAAATGAACGCTCTGAACTCGCGAATTTAAAAAACAGAAGTGATATAGTCATCCTCTCAGCCGATAAAGGCAACGCTACTGTTATTATGGATAAAGATTCATACAACAACAAAATCTAGAATCTGCTCAACGATGGAAGTTACTCAAAAATAAAAAAAATGACCCTACTAATAGCCTAGCGATAAAAACCAACAAGATCATCACAAGTTCGACCTCCCTAATCGCCCCAACTAAACGTCCCTCCCTAAAACCTTCTGCTGCAAGACCCCCTAGATTCTATGGTCTTCCCAAGATTCATAAAGAAGGCACCCCACTTCGACCCATCGTATCCACGATCAACTCCCCTACCTATATACTAGCCCGTTTTCTGTCAGATACCTTGCTGCCTTTCACTGGCAAGACCACCTCAGCAGTACTTAACTCAGCCCAATTGGTCTCTATGGTCAAAGACGTTGTACTGTCCCCTGACGATATCCTTGTCAGCTTCGATGTGGTCTCTTTGTTCACCAAGGTCCCAGTACCTGATACCATTGAAATAATTGAAAATTTGGTCCAACATGGGCTAGACCCCGACACACCTGCACTGGTTAGGCACTGCCTCAACAATACCTACTTTACTTGGAATGGCTCCTTCTACAAACAAAATGAGGGTACCCCCATGGGATCCCCCTTATCACCAGTGATAGCCAATATTTTTATGGAGAAATTTGAATCAGACGCCATCCAGACTTCCACCCTCAGACCTTCCCTGTGGAAGAGATATGTGGATGACACGTTCGTCATTTGGCCACATGGCCTCCCAGCTCTGAACCTTTTCCTACACCACATCAATTCCAGACATCCCGCCATCAAATTCACCATGGAAGTGGAGAAAGATGAAAAGCTACCATTCTTAGATGTTCTGTTTGAGAGGAGACCTGATGGCTCATTGGGGCATTCTGTCTACAGGAAACCCACCCACACAGATTCCTACTTGAAACCTGATTCCCACCACCACCCAGCCCAAAATAATTCTCTCATCAAAACTTTATACCATAGGGCTCATTGCATTTTGGACCAACACCACCTGACCAGTGAATTAAAACATATACACCTGGCCCTCAAAAGGAATGGTTACTCTGACCGTACCATTCGCCAAGCTGTTTCTCCCTCTATACAGAAACAACCACTTGATACTCCGGTCAAAACCATCACACTTCCATATATAGCAGGCGTTACTAAAAAGATTTCCAAAATTCTAAACAAACACAAGATCCAGGTCCGGTTCAATACAGTACACAAAATTCGTGATCTGATCCCATCCGTGAAGGATGTTATTCCTGATTTACAGTACCCCGGGGTTTACAAATTGAGTTGTACCTGCGGTGATTGCTATATCGGGGAGACAAAGCGACATGTCTCTGACCGAATTCGCGAGCACAAATCAGATTTGAAACACGGCAAAACGAATTCTTCTGCCGTGGCTGATCACTGTTACAACGCTGTGGGGGATCACGATATAATTTTCTCCGATACCAAGGTTCTTTGCAAACCCACGGGCTTTTATCAGAGATTTGTTCATGAAGCAATTCAGATCTACAAACACAGACACAATTTCAACCGAGAGGATGGTTTCAAATTAAGCAACCATTGGAAAGATGTTCTAAATCGAACTAAACATTAAACTAATTTCAATGGTACAGTATATTTTTTCAAGTAGTGGTACCCCAAACTTTCGCAGCTCTTATAAATTCCCTTTTCACACCATCAATAGGTAAACTCCCCCTCCCCCCCTTCCCCCCGCGCCAAACGGCAAGTCCACCGGCACGTAAACCACCTCTTTCCTAAAATCCGCCAATCAAATGCTAATTTTTATGCTAATTTCTTTGTCAGAACACCTTGTTTGCTCGCACACAGTTTAAAGGTCCGCTGTCTGAGCGTGGTTGTGTTTCGCTAAATTCTCCTGTTTGATGAGTACTAGGTGCCTCGGTGAATGTATATGCTCTGACTTTAACATAGCTATTTCTGTGACCAGTTACAAGCTAATCACTCAGCTATTTCAATGCTAAATTCTATGCTAATTCCTTTGTCAAGGGGTACCTCTGCGGATGTGTATACTTTGACTTAGCTATTTCAATGAGCCATTTCAATGCTAAATTATATGCTAATTCCTTTGTCAAGGCGCTTTGTGTTTTTCTTCTCACACAGCTTAAAGGTCGCGATCTAAGCGTGGCTTCTCTCACTCCAGCGCTGTCCTCCAGACAGTCTCGTCCCTTCACCTGATGAAGGCCGCTTGTGTTGTGGCCGAAACGTCGTGATTTTTTGTTATTTTATTTTCACCTACGTGACTTTACCCAATAGAACCAAAGAACAAGCAAGACTCTTCCACCCGGCAGGGCAGGCCACACGCGACACCAGGATCGGGTGCCAGATCGGGCGTTCGGGCAGGCCAACCACCACCCACGGGCAGTGCCGGATTAAGCTCAGTGCGGGGCCTGTAGCATTTCTTATAAAGGGGCCCTAAATAAAAAAAACACGTAAATATTAAAAACATAAATTTTTCACTTGCATAGTAATTGTATTTTTCATTTGATATACAGCCAGAAAATACGCCAAATCGCTAACTTCAAACACCCAGGCGTTCGTTAACGTTAAAGGCAGTATATTATAGTACCTCTCTCACCTGAAGACGATTGCTTGTGTTGCGATCGAAACGTCGTGATATTTTTTATTAATTATTTTTTTTATCTACGTGGCTTTACCGAAAGACCCATAGAACAGTATAGTACTATAGTAATAGAGCAAGTGCATAATCACTGAACCGGAATCGATAGCTTGAAAGCATTTAGCGCGGGGGTGGGGGTGGGGGGAGGGGGGGAAGGGTTGCCCTTGAGAGTGCGGGGCCCGTAGCAACATACGTGGCTACTTTTGACTCTTCCGATAATACGATGGGACGCTGCCTCCCGGGGTCCTCACCTCCCGTCGGGTAGAGAACGGGGCCCCTGCGCGAGCAGCTGCGCATGCACGCGCGGTCCGACGTGAAGAGCGACGCGTCGTCGTCCCGCGGCGGAGGGGAGGCGGTGGGCGACGTCGTCGTCGTCGACGTCGCCACCGCCGCCGTGACCCACACGAGCTTGCACGAGTCTCTCGAGGCGTCGTAGGCGAAGCGCAAGGAGCTCCTCGCGTCGTCCGTCCCACGGCGGGGCTGCTCGCGGGGCAGCCTGCACTCGGCGACTCCTGCGCAAGTGCGAATGTGTCCGTAACCCTCCGCCACCCGACAACAGCAAAGCGCGGCTTGGAAGCGTTGTGGATTTACCCGCACAACAAACCTGCGGTGCCGCACGCGCGACCGACCAACGCCGATCGTTCGGTTTGCAATTCTATTAATAAATAAAGGTTTTTTGGGTTGGGGTCGCGTAAGTATGAATGTGTCCGTAACCCTCCGCCACCCGAAAAAGCCAGCGAGGCTTGTAAGTGTTGTGGATTTACTCTCGAGCACACCGGTGAGCTGAAGTAGTAAACTAATTGGCGCGTTGTTTAGGTGACAAACCTTGCTGGCTGTGTCGGGTGGTGGAGGGTTGCGACACATTTGTACGTACGCGATCTGACCCAAAAACCTTTATAATGAATGATATTGTGCGCGAAAGCCTGCCGCGTGTTAAACTGCAATTCTATTGTTTTGAGACGCAAATATATCACGTTATCTAATTTTATATTTATAGAGCGCTCACGTTCAAGGTGCTTTACATAGAACGGATGGTGACAGGATGATTTGGCGTGCAAGTGTCGAGCAATGAGTGACCGCGATGGAGGGTACTTAGGGGTCACGAAAGGGTAGGGGAGGGACGGGATGGAGCGGATTTTGGTTGGCCATCGGTCATCTCATCGCGCGCTTTCAGGTGCGCTTCTGCGGCCGCCTGGAACGCTCTTCCTTCAGATATTACGAAGCCATTGGAGCTATGCACTTTTAAATAATCTACATTGAAAACTAATTTCTTTAGAAATGCTTTTTTTGTGCGTTAGTTTGTTGTCCTTCCCCCGCACCTCCGATTAGCACGGTTGGCTAAGTACGGTGCGAAATAAGTTCAACATACACACATTTTAGTTCCTGCCTCTGTAAAAACAAAAAAAACCCTTTGAAACCGGTTCTTGGAACAAAATCACGACCGTGAATCGTGATAATTCTTGGAATCGCCAAGGCTGGGGAGGGGCGAATCGGCCCACTCTGAAGCGTGAATGTCTTTGCTGTTAAAGCGGAAGTCAATGCCATGTGAGAATTGTTAGCCGTTCGTTCGTATTGCGCAATGTTCATTCGGATCTTGTACTCGACTTGGGGACTGTTTATCGTTTTTCTCGTCGCCTTTTGTTTGTGTTGCTGCTGGCGCTGTGCTCACGTTCCCACGGGTCTCCCATGCAACATATAGCTGGGAAGTTGGCTAAAACCAGATAATCCGTGTAACTGTAATAAATCAAATAGGACATCTCGGATAGGACGTCTACTGGACATTTGTAAAACTACTGGACATCCGCGAAAAATAGAGAACATCTGTGAAGAAGAGCTGCATAGCTCATCGGATTCCTCCAGTTAGAAAGAATTCTGATTCTGAATAGGACTTTAAAGTGTTGTCAGTGTTGAGTCAAGAGGTGGCAGTGTTGTACGCAAGATGTGTACGCAATTGGCACAAAGTCAAATCTTCACGTAAAGCTTTCGTGACTGCAGGAATTCATTTTCTTTGGGTCTTTCGGTAAAGCCACGTAGATAGAAACATTATTAAAAATATCACGTTTCGATCGCAACACAAGCAATCGTCATCAGGTGAAACAAATATGACGATCGTTTGCGTTGCGATCGAAACGTGATATTTTAATTCTATCTACGTGGCTTTACCGAAAGACCCAAAGAATAGAAATTATTATGCAATGAAAAAAAATTCGGGTCAATTAATTGGGGGCCGGGGGGGGTCACTAGACCACCCTGTAAAGTGGATACTGCAGAGGGCAGCGCCATTGGCTAGTGTTTTAACATCACATCAACCGAAATGTCTTCAAAGCACACAAATATGTTATGAACAAGGACCACTGCCCGAAACTTCGCCTATTATATGTGTACCTATTAAGGCCAAAGTTCTTGACCAATGTGTTGAGTTGATCAGACTCAGAATGATAATAGGTTTTTCCCTTTTTTCTGGCAACAAAACAGGTATATTTTATTGTTTTATTTTATTGTTTCCCTTCTACGTGACTTTATCGAAAGAACCAAGAATAAAAATAAAACAAAATAGGTGTCAAGATGTTAAAACACCAAACATCCTGTTTTGTTGCCATAAAAAAGAGGAAAACCTATTATCATATTTTGGTACTGACAAAGGAGATTCCATGATGCAGAATCAGAATATTCATGCAGGAGGAATCCGATGACCTAAAGTTACAAAAAAACACAAGCAGTACAAAAAAAAGAGCACGATGGTTAATTCTGCGTGCTAACCACTGCCAACACAACAGCAGCATCACCAAAGAATGCCTTTAATAATCCCAGAGATCACGAAAGCGTGCAAAACACGCGCGGCAACCAGTTTCAAAGGTAAGCCACACAACAACGACGCGCACGCACATCATAAATAATTATCACGCGAGTGCAAAGTTTTAAACGTGTGCAAATGTTACGCTTTAAGTTCCTCGTTTGTTCTACCTCCCTTGCGTTTCCGTGATTGTGAACCCCCCCCCCCCCCCCCCCCCCCCCGTGGCAGCACGCACATTCCTTGTGCACTAGCGTGGCGAAAACTTAGAAATCAATTAAAACAAGGGCAGCCACGCGGAACGGCTTCGTTGGACCACTTCTCCCACTGGAATCTTTGATGAGTTGCATTTAGTGTCGTTTGGCTGATGGGTAGCATTTTTTTTGCTATTTACACTTCCAATCAAGGCCGTAATTATAATATATATTCAAATATGCTCAAATTGTCCCCCCCCCCCAAATATATTGCTATAAAATAGATTTCTGTTTATATGATTGTGGTAATGGTTGTACTTTATTAATCCCTAATCTCTGCCATTACATACAATGAAACAAGAAAAGGTAAAAAGAAACAGAGCAATGTAATACAATATACACTATTAGATATTATTGTAAAAAAAAAAGTCCATCCTATGTGTTTGTAATTTTTTAAAATATTTTAGGCAGGAAATGAGTTTAAAATTTAGATTTTTTTTCTGGGGGGGGGACCCCCAGACCCCCTGGAAGATTTGGTTCCCTCCAATGTTGACTCCATGGCTACGGCCTTGCTCCCAATTGTAAGACGTCGTCTGCTTCGAGTTGGGCAACTCTCATCGACCCTTCGATACGCTGGATTTGAAGGTATCTTTTGGATTGTTTTTTTTCTATAAAAGTCGTATTATCAGGCGGGTGATACAGGAACTCCTCTGCTTACGAACATTCGACTTACGAACTTTCAGAGATACGAACAAACCTGTCCATGTCTAGTTCCCCACGCAATAGATCACTGTGGTGGGATCTGAATTTGTAGAACATTAAGAACCAGTGGCATCTACATCTGCAGGAGATTATACAAACACCTTCTAAAGCCCTTCCCCGTGTTTAGCGTACATGCCGTACAACGTTTGGAATCGACAGGAGTAAAGTTGGACTTATTAACAAATCGACTTGCAAACAGACCTCTAGAACCGAACGAATTCGTGAGTAGAGTTGTCCCTGTATAGGCAACAACGCTGTATCAACGAGAGAAGAAAATGGGACGCAAAAACACAACAAATCCCGACAGAAGAAAAAAAACCCCGACTGGAATTGCCTTTTTGAATCAAATCAATTCCAAGACGATTAATCAAATTGCTGGAAGAGTGAAAATCATTGCCTCCATCATCCAGCCACTAAACCTCTCACTGTTGGGATCTGTGGGGAGGATCCGTTAGGCGTGAGATTGGCGATTTAGGAGACATCCCTAGGGAAGGGTAAAAACGGTTTTCCTTCAGATGTTACGAAGCCATTGGAGCTATGCACTTTTAAAATCATCCAGATTGAAAACTCATTTCATTGAGAAATGCTTTTTTGGTGTTTCGTTGTCCTTCCCCCGCACCTCCAATTAGCACGGTCTGGCGAAAGAAGCTCAACATAGATAGTACACTATACACTACATTACACACACTACACCACTATACTATATTTAGAACTAATTTATCAAGAACTGCGTTTTTGTGTGTTAGTTTGTTGTCCTTCCCCCGCACCTCCGATTGGCACGGGTGGCTACGTACGGTGGAGCGAAAGAAGTTTAACATACATATACAAACTACTATACACTACACCACGATACTACATAGAAAACTAATTTATTTAGAAATGTTTTTTGTGTTGTTTGTTGTCCTTTACCCTCGTACGGTGGTGCGAAAGAAGTTCAACGTACAGTACATTCAAGCGGAGAGGCTTTATTTTCCAACTATTTTCGAGTTATCCAAATTACAGCCGAATAATCGAACCGATAATACACGGTAGGGTGATCGACTATTTCAAATAATCACGTTAAGTCCAGCTCTATGGCAGATTTTTTTTTTACTGATGGGGACGAGGGGAGGGAGTGGATTTTTTTTTACATCGAATTTGTTTTATTTTCTAAAAGAAAACAGCCTAGCGAATTGAAGTTCTTACATGTCACTATTTGATATAAAAACGTGACACCCCCCCCTCTCCAAGATAATGTAAGGAATGAAGATTGGGGATACAGATATATATTGTAATGTAATGCTCGACCGCGATATATAAGCATTCCTCTGCGGGAGAAACTACAAATAAAAACCACAAACCCAAAGGCACTTCAATGGCAGGGAACATCAGAGGGCAGCAACATTCATGTGGTCAGGAGTCAAAATAAAGGAGGTAATGTGTAATAATGAAACCACAGTTACAGATTGCCGTCAGACTGGACATATGCATTTCCTTGCGAGCGGTGCGGCTCTGGATTGAACACAGATGGCAGACGGCTGGAGGCACCACGGGGCCAGGGCAGGGCGCCCGGAGGGGGGAGAGTTTAAGGAGCCGCAGAGGCTCTAAATGAGCGTGTCGACAGTGGGATGATGATGATGACTCGGTCGCACAGAACCGTGTCCACCACTTTCACAGCTTATTACCATGCCCCCCCTCCCCCTCATAATCCTACTTCGGTAAAAATTTAGCGGTCGTAAAGGGCTTTTGCAGGGTGGACATTCGCTGCGGAGTTTTTATTTTGTACACGAACGCTTCTGCGGAGAGTACTTCGACAGTAAACTCGCGTCATTTCTTTTTTTCCATTTTGGGGGGGAATTCTAAAATAAAAAGTCGATATTTTTGGGCCTCTATAAATAGTGCGGTTAAGTCGATCGGCGGCAGATCGTGTGCGAGTGCGGAAAAGTGTGAGTACTCCTAATCCACGATGTCTGGCGAGTGTGGAAGAGTAGACCAACTACCCTCTAGAGCTCCCTCGAGCATGGAGGCCCTTCTGCCAGCGGTGGCATGGACAAGCAATTGCAGGGCTACACCTTGACAATAACACCAGCGTAACGCGCAGCTGGCCAATATATGTTTTAAACTGTAAAACTAAAAGCCGAAATTACTGAAACGCAGCGTGCGCGCGTGCGTCAAAACAAAGCCAGTCGATCGAAGACCCCCCCCCCCTCCAAAAAAACCCCCATCATCACGACCATGTGGCGAGAGAAATACCGACACGACTCGGTTGAGGCTGGAGAGAGAGAGACCTCTCAGGCTGACACGTTGCGCGTCGGAGCAGACTTGCAACGTGTAACATGAGTGAAGCCCCGTGCCATCACATATATAACAATGACAATAGCCGACAACGCAGATTGAGAGTCGGCGGACCATGAAATATACATCGGCCCTCGATTTGAAATTTCAAAGGTGACCCTGGGCGCCAGTCCATTTAGGCAACAACGAATGACAGTCGCCTGCAGACGACCGACACAAACCATAACGCAAGAGCTTTGACTAGCATACAACATAGGAAATGCACAAGCGAGATACGTGCGCCAGTACTCACTCGCATCTTGTCCCCCGATAGGTTTCACGCAGCAGCACAGCGCCCAGAGAAACACACACCAACACCACGCCACGTTGTGAGGCATCCCCCCCCAAAAAAAAATAAAATAAGAACGGTCTTAAGAATTGCTCGCAAAGAGTGCTTATTGTGCGAAGACACATTTACAAGGGTTAAACGCGAGGCGTTAGAAGGGCGCAGAACAAGAGAGTTGGTAAAGTCATCGCCAAAAAAAACCCCTCTCCGCCCACCCAAAGCACTTCACGATAATAAAAGAATAATTACCTCCCACCCCATATGAAATCGCAGGTTAAATTTTAGCTACGCGTTTGCACATGTTATGCGGACGCGCATTTATGGCACAGGTTGACAGTAGCCATTATGTTATTGCGGCCCAAGTACCGCAGCTATTGGCAAAAGTCCATTCGGTCAGGGTAACGGTATTTTATTAGCGCAGTTGGTACGACATCTAATTTAGTGACGTGTACTTACAACTACCAACTTTGTTCTCACTTGACTTTTTTTGTTAACCACTCAACTGAGAAGTTCCCTCTTCCCCCCCCCCCCCCCTTTCTGGGCAGCTGCATTCGACGCCTTTAAAATAGCCGGCCTCGAGAATATGAAGAAATTCTCACGGGTGGATATTTTTTTTCAACAACCGCATTCGGCGAGTTTCCGCAGGCCCGCGTAACCAATTAGTTCGCGCTTCGCGACTCAAAAAGTAACAGAGAGAAACAAAAAAAGTCCAAACGGGGCTTAGAAAAACGCTTTTTAAAAGCAACCAAGCAAGCAAGACGAAGAATCAAGAGACAAGGACGCAGTAAAAAAGCCGCCTGTTCAAACGGAACCTGCCATGGAAACACGTTGGATCGCCGCTACTTTGGTGACGGAACAATAAAACACGAAGTTTTTATCGCAGGGGGCAGAGTCCCCCCCCCCCCTCACAGAGGCGAAGAAAAGGCACAACCAAATTTGAATGTTTGCGTACCTTGCTAGGACACCATGCACACAATGACAGCATTTCTTAAGCGGCAACAAGGCCCTTTATTGATGCTGGACAAATAAGGATGTAACTTACACGCGCGCGCACACACATGTGGCAGATGTCAGCTGTGGTATGACCTTGCTGGAAATTACGAATTAAATTATGCTTCATAATTCAATTATGTAGGACCTATTTAGTGATTAGTAGATCTCAAAATCGCAATCTGGATAAAATCGTTATATGAAAGCGTTTCAATTGCTGTAGTTTTTATATTTTAAAACCACGTAATTTGGGTGATTGACTAGTTTATTGGGTGAGTGAGTAGTTGTTTGGGTGAGTGTGTTGTTGGGACCTGCGGTGTCGTGATGGTTGTGGTGTCGGCTGAACAATGTGGACAAGGCAAAGGAGCGCGTCTCTTTAGACTTTAGCAAAATGTCGATTTCCGCTTGTTGCAAATACGATGTCCACCGACATGAAAGTTGCAGGGTGGGTCCCGTTCACCTACAAATCTCGGAACACACAAGCGACTCAACAATTTTTTTTTTTTAGAGAGGCATAGCGCCGCTGTTTGTAAAGACATTGTACTCACCACAGATAACTGTTGCAACACGACCGCACTTTTCATAACTGGCGCTAAACTGCGCCACTCGCCCTCCCGCATGGCCTTACAGGAGCCTCGGTACCGATATATATTTTTTCTCATCGTCTTGATGACGTACACATACGCATACGTATGTCATCGGAACGGGAAAGGGTTAAAAGGAGCGACCCTCCACTTGCTCGCTCACGCCACTGCTGGCAGAAGCGCGAGAGGAATCTCCAGAGGGTTGCCCCCCCCTCCGCCTGTCGAGACTATTTGTGGCCTACTCTACCACGCTGGCCAGACGTCGCAGATGATCACGGTTGGCGATGTACGGTACGAAAGAAGTTCAAAGAGATGGGAGTACCCACGCTTTACCCCACCACACGCGCCCCGCGGATGGATCGACTAACTGTGGTTGCACCCATTTCCACTGCCGGGTGGACGGAGGCAGTGGAGGGATTTAAGAAGCTTGCCCCATCATTTCAACTGCCAAGCCGGGAGATGGAATCGAACCAGCGACCTTTGGATTTCAAGTTCAGAGTGTGAACCATTACACCGTTCTAGCATCCTATTGATGCAAAACATAAAAGAGCCACTCTAGATCATTACTAACGACTTTTTCCCGATGTCTGGAACACACGTAAACCATTGTTTATGGGCATGCGCACTGTTTACCACTGTAGTCCAGCCGTGGTAACAATTGCACTCCATGTGGAAATGTGACATTTAAATGTTACATGATGACAAGTTTGGCCACGTGTAATCTCTGATAAAGATAATACTATGTTTCCATGAAATTAACTAAAACTAAGATTTTAATACTTCACGTTAACTATGCTTTTTTTAACAAGTGATTGCCAACACCCCACGGGACGTAAGACATTAGAACACCATTCCACTGGCCGGCACCATGGGGACCTCAACTAATGCCAGATTTTTTTTCGCAAATGCATTTCGCTGAGCCGACAAAAAGTTCCCGTCGCATTGAGCAGCGATCTTAAAACACCGAAGAACGTGACCAAGGGGAGTTCACATGGGTGGGGGTGAGGGGGTTTGGGGGTTGGGCGAGGGCAGCTGCTGCCCCTAAAGTACGTTAAGTACTCGCTTAACGCGTGACATTGACGCAACGCGTTTTCTCCACAACGTGGCTCTTCCATACGGGGACACTTTTCGCACAACTCGGGACGCGCCCGCTGTTGTAATGTGGAACGTGCACAGTCATGACGTGGAACGTGCACCCCGTTGTAACGCAGAAAGCGCGCCGTTATAACACGGAACACGCCGCTGTGAGCATACGGAACGCGCACCGTTACAACGCAGTTTCTGAGCGCTCGACGAGGAACTTTCTTGAGCTGCGCGGCCGAGCGCTACGGTCATACAGTACGCGGAATTATACAGTAACGTGGCGGCGCGTACCCTCAGTTATTCGTCCTGCCGTCTTACTGCGTGTGCGTAGTCGTACGTCGCTATCTCGCCAAACTCCACCATGACATTGTTTAATGGAGAAATCGTTTTCGCTGAATGCATTTTCCGCTTAACGCGCCACTTGTCAGGAATGCATCGAGCGCGTTAAAACGAGGACTTAAGTGGTGGTGATAAAATCAAGTGAATATGCAAAATAAATAAAGATGCATTAGCTGAGTTTCCTGCGTGCGGGCCACTGGAGAATGGCATTCCAATGTGGACCTCCAGAGCGCGTCGGTGACGACTATATGAATAACTTGAGAGTACCTATCGCAGATACGAGAGTCAATTCAAACACTGGTGAACATAAAAAAAAATTATAATATAAAAACAAACAACGAATGGTAAATGTACAGCGAGTCATCAAATGCAATTCCTGCCAGTTTAACATGCTAACATTAAAACCACTTTCCCAGGGTAGAAAAATGTGGAGCAATTTCACGCTCCGGTGGGTCCGAGTGGCATGGCTTGGAGTAAATTAAAGCGAACCGGTAAAGTACTTTAAAAATCGGCAAGGGGTGTGATTATGAAATTATCCTGGAAATGCAGCGTGGATGTGTCCTGCGAAGATAGCGTTGTTCCAGGTAACGTTTTACCTCCGCCAATACTGCAAAAAAGTAAAAGGAGATAAAGACAAGGAATTAGTGAACACTGGGTTTTCATAATTAATGTCACGTACAGCTGCTACTGCGGACGAACAATCCAAGGGACATTGTGATCGTCACAGCTATTACAACAAAAAACCTAACTGTTAAACAATTTTTCTATTACCATGTAAGGCCCACTGAGCTTTAGTCTCTTTTTCAGAAGTGACCTGGCCACAAATGATAGCTCAACGAAGTGGCTTATCATGTGGAAATTTATAGCAGCCAAATACTCTCAATGCATTGTTCTAAATGTGGATGGAAAAACCGAAGGATCTGGAGAAAAATCCACGTGGCCATGGGGAGAGCATGCAAACCCCAAAGCTACAGGTGTCAGGATCGAACCCATGATCTCCTGTATTCCACGCGAGATGGTTAACATCTCGCCACCACAGCGCCCCTAGAGTGTTTGCCAGGGTGGACGTGAGCCCAGTGGGGGGGGGGGGGGGGTGTCGGTGGGGGAGGGACGGGTGGGGGGGGATGGGGAATTGGGGGGCGGTGGGTTCTCACCTGAGCAAACTTGTGAATTTGCTCGACAACGGCAGCAAACAGAGCCCCAACACTCTCGTCGATCAGACTCTGCATGTAGTGGACGGCCTCCTCGTCAGAGAGGTCCAGACGGAACTTGTCTTGCACCTGCACACACGAGCGCCACACGCAGCCAGGGTAGACAGATTGGTGTGATATTTTTTTACTTTCTCATCACCAAAAATGAGTGAAGACGATTGCCGACCACACAGAAGAACGTCCCGGTTTTGATTCATCTCACAAACAGCTACCTGTGTTGAACCGTATCAGAACATTGCACAGTAGAGGCGGCTATCCCCTACACCGGTGAACAAATTAAGAATGGGCCACGGAGCGACCGCGGGCCAGCAGTCTCACACCGCATACTAACATAGTACGCCGCTGCTTCTGTACGACGTCGTGAGATGCAGGCGCATTTCAGAAGTGGGTGAGCTATGTAGCTCTTTTTCAGAAGTGACCTGGCCACAAATGATAGCTCAATGCAGTGGCTTAGAATATCCAGATACTCTAAACGCATGGCGATTCTAAATGTGGAGGGAAAAACCGGAGGACCCGGAGAAAAATCCACGCAACCACGTGAAGACAGACATGCAAAATCCAAATATACAGCAGCGGGCGTCACGGGTCGGAATCGAACCCACGACATTCTGTACACCACGCGAGGTAGTTAACATCTCTTAGCCACTGTAATGATGATGATGATGAGAGAGGCACGCAAACTTCTGTACACCACGCGAGGTAGTTAACATCCCTTAGCCACTGTAATGATGATGATGATGAGAGAGGCACGCAAACTGCAAATATACAGGTGTCAGGGTCGGGATCGAACCCACGACGTCCCGTATGCCGAGCGAGGTAGTTAACGTTTCCTCGCCACCGTGGCGCCCTGGTCCGTGTTGCATTGCGAGAGACCGACGTGCTGCCGAGCTCTCGGCAGCACGTGGGTCACCTCACCTTCTTCACGGTCTTGTCGGGCTCCAGGGCGATGTCGGGGATGTTGGCATCCACCATGAGCGTGAAGAGGTTCAGAATCAAGTTCGCGTACCTGCGCGACAGACGGCACCGCAGTGGTGGGGTGTGAAACGTTCGCTTCTCCGCAATGCGGAGATCTGTTAAAAATGTAAAAAAAAAAAAAAGCAGTATGGATATAACACGAGAAATTTCAAATGAAAACTGATTGTGTTTAGGTTTGTTGTCCCTTCCACCCCGGCCCCCCTCCACCTCTGATGAGCACGGTTGGCTGCAGAAGGTGCGAAAGAAGTTAAACTTACATACATACGAATGGGCTAAATTTGGTCTTCCTGGAAATAACGTTGTTTTGTCAAGGAGTCGGGTTGATTCCGGGGCACTCCACCCCTGAATGAACCTGGTATGGCGGGGGGGGGGGGGTTGATGATGATGACACTGCACAGTGTTTGGTAGGGGGGCAGGGCAGGAAGGGGGGAGGCAGGTGGGGTTGAGAGTGGGAACGGCGTACCTGCGCAGGTGCAGGAAAGCCGTGTAGCACTGCTTGCGAAACTCCTGGTACTGCTCGCTCTGCATGCCTCCCATTCCCTCCACCATCTCCTTGCTGAGTTTCATCGGGGGAGGCAGCGGTTTGGGGTCGCGGCCCAGGATGTAGCCGAAGTCGATGTGAAACAGCTTTCCTGCACGCGCGACGCACGCACGGCTCCGATGAGCCCGTTGTTTTGGGCCCCGGGTGGGCTCCCATCAATCAACGAAGCGAGCTCTTTCAACTCCTGACAACGCACGATGATACTGCACCATCAGCGCCATCGGCTGTATTTACAAAGAGGATTTGACTTGTGAGCGTGCGAGCAGAGCAAATGCGCCGAAGTGCAATTTGTTATGCGGCTGCTGCCACTGCTGATTCGATTTAAATGCCCTAATGGTATCGAGTATGGAACACTTTGGGGATTATTTTTTGGGGCAGACATTCTGCCACTTGAGCGTGAAAATGACAGGTAGTGGCAGGGGCGGAGCCAGGATTTTGACTTTGGGGGGGCTGACTTCAATATTCTGAGATATCCAGTGTTCATGTTTTCCAATGGGCGCCACAAATGTATAAAACACATTTTATTGGATTTGAACGCGGAGTTTATTAATAGGTCGGAGCCGCTGATGTGGCTAATAAGTTCGATAAGTTCGAAAGGCTGCCGCTCAGGCAGCCTGCAGGGCAGCACAAGGTGGCAGCCTGCAGGGCAGCACACAAGGTGGCAGCCTGCAGGGCAGCACACAAGGTGGTAGCACAAGGTGGCAGCCTGCAGGGCAGCACACAAGGTGGCAGCCTGCAGGGCAGCACACAAGGTGGCAGCCTGCAGGGCAGCACAAGGTGGCAGCCTGCATTTTGCAGCAGCCGGATATCCGGTTATTCCGATTACCGACTTTCCCTAAATTTCAGGGGGGGCTAAGCACTCCCCAGCCCCCCCTGTGGCTCTGCCCCTGGGTAGTGGGTGACTTGGTGACTAAATGTCAAAGTTGGAATAAAATATTTCAAGGTTTCAACAGAGTTTACATTACCCGTTTTGGTGAGTAGCAAATTATCCAGGTGTCTGTCGCCAACGCCAAGTATGTAAGTTATGACACAATAGCCAGCTGTCGAGGGAAGAACACAAGTCGTAAAATACCCCATTAACACAACGTTCACTTGGTATGATGATTCACTTTTATACGTAACAAGCTGTTCTATGAACGGGTTTGAAAGCTTTCCTAAAGTATAACCCTACAAAAAAACTACCCTAAATAAAACTGAAAATTCGCCTCCATGACTGCCAGCAATGACACGGCTGACTTCCAGTGGCCGTCGACACGGCAACAAAAGGCATTTCACCAAAAAAAAGTGGCCTTCCCACGCGCTTTGGTTGAATATGCAAGAGCAAGAACCTACCGCAGCTCTTCACGTACGTATCCATCACTTCGGCACTGATCCCGTAAGGTCCCTTCTCACTCGGAGCGTGCTTCCTGAAGAAATTCTGCAGGGGAGTCAACGTGGGGGGTTGTGGGTGGGGGGAGTGCAAAGGAACGAACGTGAGCGATCGAGGTGCCACTACTATTGCGTAGATTTTCATGGCTGCGCCGTATAGGTCCCCTGTGCGTTTGCGTAGCACGGATCGCTCGGCACGTCCGACGTTTCAGTTCGTAACCACGAACAACACGTGGTGGCGATTCGAAAATAGCAATGATGGGTGCTTCTGTCCCTTTGGCGAACAAGAAGACTGTACAGCAATAATTTGCGCGTTCAAGCCTCAGGGTTTGTGCTTACCCTCGTGCCCGTATTCTTTAGGGCAACAATTTACGTCCAGGCATATGCTTCGTGTCACTTTGGAGCACGCCTGAAAATGGATATCAACCTACGCCTTTTTTTATGACAAAACGGCATCAGTCAGGAATGAATAAATAAATAAATAAAATCTCGGTAATCATAATTAAAGCAAAAAAATGCGGTGCAATTCAATAAGCGATCGCCAGCGGACATGTCGATGCAAGTCGTAGCCACCGTAAATGCGTCCTTATGCAGTTCAGGTGGTTCGGGCACCTGGTAAAAATGCCTCCAGATAGACTCCCCCTGGAAGTCTACCGGGCATGTCCCGCTGGGCAAAGATCCCGGGGCCGATCCCGGACACGCTGGTGAGACTACGTCGCTCGGCTGGCCTGGGAATTCCCCAGGAAGAACTAGAGTCTGTGTATACTAGTGTATAGTAGTGTATAGTGTAGTGTATAGTAGTGGAGTGTAAAGTGTAGTACATAGTAGTGTAGTATATAGTAGTGTAGTGTATAGTAGTGTGTAGTAGTGCATAGCGTAGTAGAGCTAGTCTGTCGCAAGGGAAAGGGAGGAAGGTGTGGACCGCCACTACTCAACACACTGCTGCCGTGACCCTCAACAGGACAAGCTGATTGAGCAACGAACAAATGAGCATTCCTTAGTTGAAACTAACTATTAAACAGCTCTACGTCAAAGCCATGCATATGAATTGCTTACTTAATTGCCCACTGAGTGCAACATCTGGAGCTCTACAAAAGACATCGGTCGCAGCAATTGACAGCAACGTTCTGTCGGCAACACCGCTGCACGCGGCATTCTGATACTTTCCTGCTTAAGCGCAGTGGCTCTCAACCTTTTCAGTTGGGCGGCACAGCCCCCCAATCCAGACAACTCGTCCCTGTGCCCCCCACCCCACCCTCAGCTACCCCCTCAAGCCCCCCACTGATGTCATTTAAACATTTTCGATTGGTGTGCGCGAGTTGCTCGAACACAGCGATCTCGGAGGGGGTGGACATTCTCTTTGGGCGCGTTCCAAAATTTGGTTACCGCTCCATTGCTTGTCCTGACCCTGACCACTGGCCATCACCCATCCCTTCGGGCAACGTGGTCCTCCTACCCGAAGCCCACTTATTTTTCTTCCTAAGTTTAACTTATTTTTTTTTTACCACGTAAGGTCCACTGAGCTGAAGAGCTCTTTATCAGAAGCGACCTGGCCACAAGTGATAGCTCGTCGACGTGGGTTATCTGTCGCATCAAATTAACCTTGTGGTGGGACCCAGGGGTCACGAATAAACGGAAGTCAAAATCGTAATTAATTTCTTTTTGGTGACTCCGTCCCACCGCGAACATAAACGCCGCAACCCACCTGGCGCGGATTATTCTGTTGTCATGTCGTCCAAGCGTAGTCATAAACAAAACTTATAAACTTTGATTAGCACACCGTGTAGAGCTCGTCGAGGCAGACATAAAATGATGTCGCAACGCAGTTTATGCGAGAGCCGGGGGCTAATGGGACCCCGGGGTCCCGCCATAAGGTTCAAATACTCAAAACGCATGTTGATTCTAAATGTCGAGGGGAAAAACCGGACCACCCGGAGAAAAATTCACGCGACCACGGGGAGAGACAGACATGCAAACTCCAAATATACAGCAGTCGTCAGGGTCTGGAACGAACCCACGACCTTCTGTATACCGGGCGAGGCAATTAACATCTCCTAGCCACCATGGCACCAATGTCTCAACACAGTGGCACCCTTGAAAACTTGGGCTACCAAGCACTTCATTCGTAACTCCTCCTGCATGGCGCCACTCGATGCGAAACTACCTGAGTGGCGCAGCCGTTGTGCCGTAAACAAACCTGAATGCATCCTTCTGAAGCCAGGACCTCTGCCACTGCGACCGACTCCACGAACTGCATGAAACCTGCCCGGGGGGGGGGGGGAAATGAAACGTCGGCGGAATCGGCGACGACACTCACGAGGGCCCGGAAAACGTTGGCGATCACGAAGGCGGTGGGCGCTTTTCATCTGTACGCTCATTTGATATATTTTAATTCGTTGCTCGTTTACGCGAGGAACGCTGCAATCGCGCCACGCACATCGTACGTTTTCATAATTTGATACGGCTACACACGTTAGACAGCACAGGCAAGTGCAGCAATTTTAGATTATTATTTTTTTACGCGGTACGCCTATGCTCCCGTGTCCACGCCCTCCGCGTTCGCAAATCCGCACGGAACGACCGGATTAGGGTCAAGCATCCCAGAGCCACGACCCGCTCGGTGTGGGGGCAGTGGATTCACAGAAGGCTGTGCGTGCAAAACTGAGCACGATTCGTGGCGACGAGGTGTGTACACTGATGGCAGTTCGACAAGAGTTTTGAAGGTGTTGCAATGCCGCCAAGCGTTTACCGTGTTTCGTGCTGCTGGCAAGGACCTTGTACGGCGTCAGCTTCAGGTCCAGGTTCTCTTTACGCAGGAGCTGTTGGCGACGCGTGGGTTAAGTTCGCATTGCCATTACGCGCGCAATATCACACGGGGGGAGGGAGGCTCGGAGAAGAGTGTAAAGGTGGAAAGGTGGCAAGGAGAAGAGAGGAGTGACAACATAGGAAGAAAGCTAGGGTGAGAAGGAGGGAAGGAAGGAGGCGGTAACGAATGAGGGGGAGAGAACAAGAACGGGGTGGGGGGGGGGAAAGAGTGATGGAGGGAAGGAGAAAAGAATAATAATTTTAAGGAAGCTGAGAAAGAAGGAAGGAGGAAGATGAGGAGGTGAGGAACGGAAGGAAAACGGGGTGGGTACCTTGTCCATGAGAGAGATGATCTGCAGGATGAGCTGATCCTGCCGCAGGTCGTCTCCGTGCTTGAAGATCACGGGGTACTCGTCGCCGTCGGTCGTGCGGAAGATGAGCTTGGCGGGCATCAGCGCGCTCTTCACGGGCGCCCGACGGGACGGGGAGGAGGGCACAGGTCACATGGTACTGGAACGTAATTTTCATACGTTATGCACGTTAACTGTGAATAGCCCAACTAATAATAGACATCCATTGTAATTTATAGGACGGCATTAACCCCTGTTTGGTATTCGCACCTGAGTGGCTCAAAGTGATGACATCACATTTACCCGCCCCCTCTATTTCAGACTGAAACAGGCTTTATCCACAAATCTGGCTGTCGCCTGATGAGGCTGGTTGTAATTACCGGCGAGACGTCATACTCGAATTGTCAATGTCGTGGGTTTACTCTCCAACACACCGGTGTGCTGAACTAGTAACTCATTGGCATGTTTTGTTGACGTGACAAACCTAACGAGTAAACACACACAGACACACACACACGTCCATTTCAAAATGTGAAAGAGAATCAAACAGCAATGTGGTCACCTAATCTACGGACCTTCTTTGGATAAATCTGACTTCAAACATAATGTTCCAGTCAAAGCTATTTACTTTGACACAAAGTAAACATTTGCATGGTGTGTATAATTCGTGGATTTTTTTTTGCTGGACGGTACACGTTTTACTCCTGTCATTCGCACGTTGTGTGCGTAAATTAAATCCCCATCTTTGCGTTCCGCTTTGGGACGAAGCATTGAACTATGTTGACAACGGAGCTGTTAGATGTTTTCAGAAATGAATGGCTTAAAGAAATCAATAAACCATGCAGGGGTCCCTTGCAACACCACGTTAATTACGAAAGCACAAGGGGGTCGAAGGGCATAACGAGTGCCACGATGTGAACATGGCTACAGAAACAAAACGGGCGGCACCAGGCGCAAAAGTGCTCAAAGTTGTTTAACGGGAGTTCACTAAGAATGCCACGGCACGAGAAAAACAAGGGACTGTCAAGGCAGCAGGGGATACCCAGCCGACGACGAATTCACCGAGCGGAGATTGTAAAACATTTCTCTCTCTCAATATACACACACACACACTCGAGGGTAGGTAGACGGAGAACACCCCAAAATGTTTTTTTATTAAATTTTAATCCGTGCGCCGAGACATTTGTGGCCGAGCGAGAGCACCCGGAGGGGAGCTGCCGTGCGGTCTCAGCGTGAGCTCCCCAGCGCCGCACCTTGAAGAGCGTGGCTTTCTCCGGGATGACGCCATTGGTTTTGACCTCCGGCTCCAGGGGTAGAGGGATGGGGTCAAAGGTGAGGAAGCTGCCCCTTCCGGCCTCAGCTTCGCCCAGCAGGGACTGCAGCCGCTCGATCTGAAGTCACGACGCAAACACGCGCACACAAACATGTGTATGTAGGCATACACACACGCACACAGACATGTGCACGCGCCACGCGAATGAACGCACGCACGGATAGTTTTCCTGCCCCCCCTCCCCCCCCTTTTTTTTGCAAACGTAATCTGACACCGCGGAAGGATACGAAAAAAAAGTGAACGTTACAATTTGGAGCGACGCCTGTGTCCAATTCGCGATTTGAATGCCTTCAGCAGCCTTGTGAATAAGGATTTGCGAGCGTCGTTGGCAAGCGGCTACTAAGACCGGCACGGCACATGAAGGGGCGGTGTGGCCAGCACCATGACCAGCGGTGTGGCCTGTCTCCCCAGTGCCGATGCTCACACCCTGTACCAGGCATTCATTGTACAGCCAACTCGACCTAGGAGATTCCCAATATGTGTAGAATTACCCTATGCCACTGAAACATATACGTGCACACGCAAAAACATGCACACACGCGTTTTTATTTCTCAAGTGCTGATGTTTATACGCTCTACCAGGAACTCATTTAAGGCTCAGTCAATCTAAGTGAGACTCACGAAAGTTTGAGGCACCGCTTGCTACGAATGTTATCCATGACTGAATATAACACCCAGGTTGCAGGATTCGTAATGTAGTGTGTGAATCAACACACCACCGCACGCACAGCTTAAACAGACTGTTAGGGCAGGTGCTTACTCTTTGGTTCTATTCGGTAAAGTCACGTAGGTAAAAAATAAAATAAAAAAAACAACAAAAATCACGACGTTTCGGCCACAACACAAGTAGCCTTCTTCGGTAAAAGTCACCTATGTGACTTTACCGAATAGAACCAAAGAGTATGGATCCTTGCAGTCACGAAAGCTTCAAATCTAGAAAGGGCAGGTGCTGTTAGCGAACGCCTATTCAAATCAGCACGGCGCACGAGTATGTGGGTGGCCAGCACCAAGCCCAGCTGCCTTTGTCTCCCCATAGTGCGATGTTTACACATTGCAACAGTAACTTATCAAAGGCCGAATCAACCAAGGGGAGGCCCAGGACCGGTTCAGATAATCGTTACTGGTATATGCCGTGAATCGGAATCGAACTCGGGTCACCGGATTTGAAGGACAGCCCGCTAACCACTGCACCACCGCTCCCCACCACACATGCTTCTGATCATTGCCTTCTGCTCACCAAAGCATGCGTCTTGCTCCGATTGTAGATGTGTGACAATTATTCACTTAGAAAATGTTTAACTTCTGTCTCGTTTATTTTAGGAATTCATTTCTGACATGTTGCACTCTCCCGCATGCATTTTTATGTTTTCAGGATCTGCTTTTCTATTTGCTTTTGCAACCAAGGACTGACTCCCTTGTAAAAGAGATGTGTAGTCTCAATGGACTCTCACCTGGTTATAAATATCTTACGTGACACAAGACACACATATTAACAAAAACACACTTAAATAACAAGACAAGGGTTTCAAAGACTATATAACGTGCACATTATAGATAACGTAAGTAAACGCAACCTACAGTTTAAACAATTTTAAGCTTTAAACACTTTTGATCGTTATTCTAAGAAATAGCTGTTATGGACCAATTCCTAATGGTATAAAATCCGAACCGGCGAGCCTGAGACACCAATCACTCGATTTTGAGAAGCAGTGCACGTTGATCCCAGAAAAATTTTTCTGACACCTTCGCGATAAAAAAAAGACAGAATTCGCTCACTGGGTCCTGCCCTCTGCTCCAAAGACAAAGATCACCGCCCCCCCCATCATTCAGCCTTCAACAGACTGTTGGGGCAAGTGCTGTTAACGAGCACCTATGAAGGCCGGCAAGGCATCGGGCCACGCCATGCGGTCAACGGCCATCTGGCCTGCTCGGCTTTGGTAGAGCACGTGGTCGCTTCACACGAGCGGTGACGACGACGGGCGGCGGCTACCAAGTGCGCAGGCGGTGCAACTGAAGCGGGGCTACGGCAGCCCAGGCGGCTCAGGTGGCGCCCGGCTTGCTAAGAAGGAATTTGGAGAGGCGGGGAGGAAGGAAAAGTGTTGTGCGTTTCCCGCCTCTTTACGAAACATCCGGCCAGCGCTGGAAGAGTAGGCGAAACATAGCATCTAGACGCGCTCTTTATAACGCCCTTTGAGTGGAGGCCTATTTGCCAGCAGTCACACATGAGCAAGCAATTGCAGGGCTGCAGGTCTAACCCCCCCCCTCCCCCCCACCAGGATCCAGAAGGGTTTTTGGTGGCAGGTAGGGGGTCTATCACTTGCCCCCAACAAGTACGCCAAGCCAAGGAGCTATGCCCCCCGCCCCTCCCCGCCATAGAATCATCATCTTTTTTTTTTATCCTGGAGAAATCCGATGAGCTATGAAGCTCTTTTTCACAAATGCCCCCCCGCGCCACGAGCAAACCTTCTTCTTGCGATTGCCGCTCTCGCGCTGCACGGCCTTCATGAGTTGCACCATGCGGTCCACGAACGTCTGCTGAGCGGCCAGCAGCGTACGCCGGGTGCGTGCGTCTTTCCCACCCTGTGGAACAACGACGACGCAGCGTTTTCGCCACCGCCAAGCGACATTCACAGCTGACTTTTTTGGCTTATTTGTTGACGCTTTCCAACCTAGGCCGAGGGGTGCTTGTTGACGCTTTATGCGTTAGCGCTGTCTCTCGGTCTGTACGTACGTATGTAGCGGCGAGGAGAAATGTAGCATTCATAATGATGATTGATCTAGTGTGAATGAAACTTTAGCGTAAAGTTGCATTCCTATTCGGGATTTCCCCGATTGAAGACTGGCCACATTGATAAAAGGGTTGTTGCATAAATTGTGGCGACACCTGCAAAAGCACTCGAATGGACTCTTTGCAAATAGGCACGTGTATCTTGCGCCATTAGCTACCTGCCGGGCTTCCATACTGATAATTATTTCTAAGACAAATACATGTTGAAAAGCATTACACAATTAATGCGAAAGAAACATTTTCATAGTGTTAAAATATGCTTGAAATTTATCAATAGAACGTTTGGAATGCGCGGGCGCGATCGAAAGGAGAAAATAAACTGGACGGGAGAAAAAAAATAGGAATAAGGAAGTGGCTAGAATGGCTTCAGGATGAGATGAGTTTCATTGGAACAACTCTGGATAGGATAAAATATTCGAGTTAGGTATATCATTATCATCAGAAGGACGGTCTTGCTGAAGGAAGCTCTAGATCAGTGTGTTTCTTCACTAATTTTCAGAGAGTGGTCACTTTCGCCAATAAGACATCAGTGTGAGGGGCCACCACACCACCCTGCAAGGAGTCTTGTAATATTTGTTTATCGTCGGGGGCCGCACATAAGGGGCCGCACTTAAAGCCACCAGGGCCCACCAGTGGCCCCACGAACCTTGCAATGAAGAACACTGCCCCAGAAGGAAGTTGGGGTGAAGCACAAGAGGCAGAAAAAGAAAAGGTGCTGGGGGGGGGGTACGCATAGGAAGAGATAAAGGCACAATGTCGGAGAGTGTGGAGGGAACTGGAGCCGTGAACCTGCCCTTTCGGCATGGAAGAATGAATCGCAAAATACCAGGCCAAGCTAACCTGTGTCTAAAGTGCTGGATTAGAAATGTAAAGGTTGAAGATTCAAATTCTGGTCAGGGTTTGGCTCAGCCCATCACTGCTCCAGGAATTATAAAATTAGTACCACATTGTGGGAAGGAAAATGTGGCCACCTTATACAGAGAGATTGGCTTCTGTTACGAGAATAAGGTATTTCCATAAATACCGAAGGCTGCACACAAAATAATCGCTATCCTTACAAAGGTCTCTCTCCCTACAAGTGTGTGTGTGTCTTCCATCACGATTACAATTGTGAATGTGAGGGTGGTTTTTATTAACCTGCAACTGTTTGTACTCCAAAAATGTTATACACTATTTTCTCTTGTCGAAAATGTTTGTTGTTACTTGACCACCATTGTCCCTGCGTGACAGCGAAGTTAAACACTCCTACCCTATGCGGACCTCAATTTCAGATGAGCCAGCAAAAACTCGGCAGTTTTTTTCTAAAGCCTGCATATATTCTTAAATCGGTGGCAAATGATTGCGCGTATCGATCACAAGCAAATGCAATTTATTGCGGGCGCATCAACACAAATTCTGGCAATTCTAAAGAGATCCCGACGGATTATAGTTGAACCCAGAGTAATGGGACACGATTAAAGTGAACATGTGCACACAATTGCACAAAGCCTGATTTTCCCTATCTCCAATTACCTTTTACCTCAACTGCACCAAATGTTTTCGAAGTCAAATAATAACGTTTGTGGAACATTACAATTGTTTGGAGAATTTGGATTGGGGCAGTATTTTTTATCGAAAAAAATGTAAACCACTGTGTCAGTGTAGTTGAAAATGTAGAGGATGCACCGTCTACATTGAACTGTCAATGGCAGCAAAGCATTTTGTTCAATCTCCCACCGCAAGATATTCCGTGAAGATGCAACATTTCCTTTGTATATTCATGTGATCCCAGAGCAAGATAGAATATACTCAAGATAAAGTTTTTATGGATTAATGTAACTATGTCGTACACCCACCTCGACCCGACACAGCCAATGAGTAAGGTTTGTCACGTGAATAAAATGTGACAATGTTTGACTACTTAAAGCACCACCGGTTGTGTGTGTGTTAAGAGAGCAAACCCAAAATATTTACAACCAAGTATGACGTTTTATTGGTGATTACAACCAAGGTCATCAGGCGTTCTACTAGAAGTGTTAAAATTTACGTAAGAACAGTGCATAGGTTATGTTCGTTATTGTCAACCAATTTTCGCATGTGGAAAATCCAGAAATATATTTCAGCAAGTGCCCTTTTTATCTACCAATTTCACTCCCGCTCTTTAACATTTATACAAAATATGCACTTAATGCATTAGAATGCAAATTCAAACAAGTAGATTTGTGCCATGCTCGTCATTTTTATTATGACTGTTACGCTTTTTTTCTACCATATATAGCCAGAGTGTCTCAAAACTATTTTTTCAAGAGGGTCCTGCCAAGTTGTGCAAGCAGGGAGCGATGTTGCTATGTGCAGTCTCTGTAGGCGTGTGGATGGTAAGTGCTGCCCCACCCTATCACGTGGACCAGAAGTTACTTGAAAGTATCTCCTTGAAGGTTCACCAAAATCCGTTTCCAAGAGCCATTCTCTAACACGGGGGAAGAGTTGATGACGGGATTCTTCGTCTCGTGACGTGGTACCGAGAGCGCAAGCGGGAGAAGATTGGCGAAAGAAGCTAAAACAATTGTGAGACAAAGAAAAAGAGTGGTGGCCATTCCACCCCCCAAAGTGGCTCTGACCTTCAGCAGGGCCTGGCTGAACCGGCGCATGACGCTGATGTACATGTCGTGCGTCTTCGGGTCTCTCTGTATTGTGTCCTGGTCCTCGCATTCCACAATCAGGTACCTGTGGGGCAGCCATGGTACATTATTAACCCAACGGGTTTGGGGGCAGCCACATCGGTCAGAATCTTTATTTAGACTCCAGGAGGAGGAATCCGAACAGCTATTAAGCGATGTTTCAAAGATGTCCAGTAGGGGCGGGTCGGCAAGTTAGTCACGTGCAGAGGTCATCCAAGTCCAGGTTGGCACAACAAATCAATCCACCGGCTGGTTTGAGGAATATTTTAATTGAACTGCTACCAAGAGCAAATCCAATGGGACCAATTGGTGAATTCAGAAGGTTGTTGGGTGGCCCAGAGCTCACATCACGTCAGAGCACCGGGCCAGCGCTACCGACATCCTTGATTCAAATCCAAGTTTGAGCCACTTGTGATTAAATCGGGTCTCTCTCCCTGTGCAATTGTGGTAGACCCGGGATGGACCCATAAACTAGCTACACCTGAGAATAGGCTTTAACCACGGGTGGCTGACTGGAATTGAACTTGGGTTTCTCAGCAGCTGCCGGCTCAGAGCCTCTGACTTGAAGACACCCGGCCACCACTACAAATGGAAATGTATTCCTCGCATGATTTGATATCAATTGGACAACTTTAATTGAGAAAAAAACAAAACAAAAAACAGGTTGAGGCCTCATCAATCAAACAATTAATCGCACCAGCTGGCTGCAGACATGTTTTATTGAATTTCTGCCGAGTGGAAATCCAATGGGGACAAACGAGTGACTTTATATACGAAAAAACAAAATACATTCTGTGCAATTTTTGTTTACAATGCACAGCGTTAAAATAATTAAAGTCCTCTCTAACACCACTCCCAGTTGTCTTATTAAAAAAAATCAATGTCTCAAAATAAACATGTCGACCTCTCTAGAGGCTGTGTACAGGAACGGTTATTTACACTGTGACTCGATTAACGAGCAGAAGCTCACAAGCACTGGAGGACTGCCAACAATCATCTCGCTGGTACCCAGGAGCTACAGTTCACTTCGCTTGGTGATAACCGCTTTAATTAACGGATCATTGATGTTCATTCCTTGAAAGAGCACTCGTGGACAGTCAACTTCTCCCAAACAGAGGAGCCGCACAGAAGTCACAAATGATTCTCTTTGCGCGTCGAGTGAAAGGGATTTCAAGACGCCCGTTCTGCAGAATTGACCATTGGCTGTGAATGTCCAGCTAGTGGCCCTCGCTGCAGAGGTCGACGAGCAGATGTGGCCACGTGTACCGCAGGTACTTACCAGTACAGGTAGTTGGCGAGCATGCCGTTTCTGCATGCCCGTGACACCAGAAAGGTGCAGAGATCACACTGAAAAAAAACAAACCCATTTCTCTTTTTTTTGTTCACAGTCAAAAAGTAAAAGTGTCATTGAGCAGTGCTCACTGCTGATGATAACCATGAGCCACAGATGCAAATTCTACATTTCTCTGGCCGGGAACGGTCAGTCCATAGTACAACCACATCACCAGCAGTAATGTCCACTAGCTGGCGCTCATGTTATGGACTGCAGAGGATTGGTCGTGTAAACTATGGCCAGGATTTGAATTCATCCATTCCATAATTGGGATCGTTACTGCTATATCAATGGCAGCCTAGAAATGATAATCACTGTGCGCTAATTATAACTGTGTGCCGTTCATGTGAGCGTGTTACAATATAACATAACACTGTTTGCAAGTTTACAGCTTGTCACAAAGGCAGCCCTATTTTTAGTTCGTTATGTCACGGGGCGCACGCTTGCTAATGCATTTTAGACTACTGCTAAATCGTACATGGATTTTACAGCAAAAACCCCTTTGTAAAGTCCATCTCCGACTGAGTGTTCACGACTTCTCCCTTGTGCCGAGCGTAGGCGCCCAGCGCGAAAAGCCCTGTGTACGCGGAGGAATCCTTTATCAGCAAAATTTCAGCAGGCAAGGCGGTACTTTGCGATGATAAGCTTAGGAAACAAGCCAAGAGCGAGGGTAAGCAAGCTCTTCTGGTTCACCTCCGTTTCCCTAAAACAGCCGAGAAAATTGTGTGTTTCTTTTTTCTTCGTAAAAATCTCCGAGCGTAAAATTGCTAAATTACAGCGGTGTTCAAAATGGCTAACAGCCGGGGCACACCTCCAGGTTTTCATTGTCAGGCACGTCTTTGCTTTTCGTCGATGACTGCGAAGAGCCGGAAGGCGGCTGGCCTGCAGCGGGCTGTGAACTGCGAGCCACACACAGAGCGAAGACGACGTCAGAGCGGGGAGAAAACATAAGTGCTTTAATTTGAACCAACACTGCCGGTGTGTTACTACGGTTTGATGGGAGAAAGGAAACTGTTGACTTGACAATATGAAAGAGTGAAACCCACCCACCCCCCTGAATGTAAACATGATAACATTTCAGACGCAATTGACTTGATTAAAGGAAAGGGGCTTTTGCTCTTTGATTTAACGCCTCAATATAAACATAATTAGAAATGTTTTTTTCTTCTCCAAGCCAATATAATTGGGTCAACGCTCAGCTGGGTGCATCCAGAGATTTAATTTGGTTCTGTGTGCATAACTAGGTAAAGGTGCAGTCCTGCAATTGCTTGCTTACATCACATGCGACAAAAGGGCCTCCACTAGTGGTGCCCCTCTGCAGCAAAATGACAATTTCCAGCTGTAAATACAATGTCCACCAAATAAAATAAGCCTCTTCTACCGATTAAAAAGGTCAGCCCTGCATCTTCTTCTTGCTCACACTACTGATGGTGGAAGGGCCTCCAAGAGAGCAGACTCTTAAGAGTGTATGTGGCCTACTCTTCCACGTGGACCAGGTGCGGTTGGAAACGGTGGCCGTACCCACACAGCACTGCCCCAACACACCCGACCTATTGATCGACTTACTCTGGCGAATACCACTGGCTGTACAGAGGCAGAGGGCTTTGAGAAACTGGCCCCCCCCCATACCCCCATCGTTTCAAGTGCCACACCAGGAGATGGAATTGCACCCGGCCAACCCTAGATTGCAAGTTCAGCTGTGCTGCTAACCACTACACCGCATGTGTACAGTGCCTTAAAAATTATGACAATTACGACGAGGCTAACGTCTCTGTCGCTCAATGCGTTAAATATTACAACGTTGAAAAAAATAAAACGCACAAACACACACTTTAGTATTAAATGATTTATCAGAAAAATGTTGAGCCCTGCCGTGGAATCATCTCTGAAACGTTCAATGAATGCACGTGTTCATTTCCACTGCACTAAAGCATCGCAACAATGACTGTCTCGGCTGTTGCAATTATCTGGAGAGAGCGCTCTTAAGTGGGAGCGCGATTTATTGCTCAAATATCCGTTCTAAATTAAAGCGGCGTTGAGAAGTACTTAGGCATAGGTGCTTTAGGTTACACCAGCAGTTATTTACAAGCCTTTTGGAATAAACAGCATGCGGCACTTACAAGCTTACCGTTAGCCGGTGACAGTATGATGTGTGCGTGCGCTCCCGGCAGTTCTTTTACACGCGCTACAAATCACAATGACGCTGATCTCCAAACTCCAAGGAAGGCCCACGTAACATAAGTGTATATTTTTAATTCTTATAATCGTTGAAAATTCCCTTAATCGCGTCGATGCGTCGCAATGTACTAGATTTTAACGGTTACCTCATTTAATATTGACTTCTTACATTCTGAAATCATGAATTTGGCCAATATGGGCACAGCAAGCGATCCATGAGGCAATGGCGCGTACATTCTTGAATAAGTGCGAGAGTTCAGAACCAAAAATATCGCCCGGTATGGCTTGAGCCCGGTTTTTAATGGCCGTGCAAACGCAGCAATACGAGAAGATGCTGGGCTCACCCGTCCGGCTCCGTTTCCTTGGCTGGAGGGGCCAGGGTGCTGTCGGACATCACCATCTGTCCGGTCTCCTTCTTGCTGGGCTCCAAGCCGGCCTTTATCTCCTCGAAGTTCTCGTATTTGAGGGCCTGCACGAGCTGCAGGAGGTACATCAGCAGGTCCTGCACGCGCAGCCACAAAAAGCATGCCGTACGTACGGTCAGCTGGGCACGTTGTGTCCCGGCGGTGTAGTCTCTCTGTGGGGCGCCAAGGTGGCGAGATGTTCACGACCTCGCCTGGTATGCAGGATGTCGTGGGTTTGATCCTGACCTTGACTATGCCTCTATATTTGGAGTTTGCATGTTCTTCCTGTGGTCACGTGGATTTTTTTCTCCGGGCCCTCCGGTTTTTGGCTGCTATAAATTCCCACGTGATAAGCCACTTCGTTGAGCTATAATTTGTGGCCAGGTCACTGCTGAAGAAGAGCTACATCGCTCATTGGGCCTTACTTGGTGAAATAAAATAGTTAAATTTATATCGAACTCACAGTATATTTGAAGCAGCATCTTTATTTAGACGACAGGAAGCCGATGAGCCATGAACCTCTTTTTAACAGATGATCAGTAGGGGCGAGTCAGCAAACAATACAAGAAAACCCCAATAGGAGTGCAAAATTGAGAAAATGGCAAGCAAGTCAATAAATGTAAATAAGCAATAAATAGATTTGAGAATAGGTTTTCCCCTTTTTTCTGGCAACAAAACAGGTGTTAAGATGTTAATACACCAAACTGAAACCTTTTACAAGGAATCATGTCTGCATTAACCACAATACTTGTGGTCAGAATGCAAACAAAAAACGTTGATAATATATGCATTGTCTTTGAAACTGATTGGTCCACACCAGAGACAGCTCTCTTTTGAGCCTAGTCTCAAAACGGTGTTAGACCAGAAGACGCCGAAAGGCGTACAGCGTCTGAACTTGTTCAGCAGTGTTGCGAGCGAAACGTCCTAATTTTTTTTTTCTACCTATGTGACTTTACCGATAGAACCAAAGAGTATGGATTCAAGATTGACCTTTAATTCTCCGAAGCAAACCTAACGAGTTTGCAGCGGTCGGCAATCTGCGCCGTAGACCTGGTGACCTGAGTTCAATTCCTGGCCACAGCTAACAACACATCAGCGGTGAGCGATATCTGGACTAGTTCTGGGCAAACGCTTCACCGGCCTGCAACAGGCCAGCGTGGTAACAAACATTCCCCCGTGACCGAGAGGCATAGGGAGACCCTCATCCAGCAGTGGATAACGCTGTAAAAAGTCGGCATGTCACAAATTGTGATTCGATGAGATGTCGTGATTCAAGAAGTGAAGTTTTTTTAATTTCATTTGTACAATCTCATTTGTATGGTCTCTTGTTTGCATCGTCTGTCGTTTGTTTTGCATATGAACAAAAAAAATGTGCGCTTTATCAGCCTTGTTCTCTTTCATTTCCACCGTCTCACGACCCTAAACATCTCAGGTACAATGTGCACGCTTCACGCGTAGAATTGGACGAGGTCGCAATGAATAAAACTCAACGCTTTGTACAATCAAGCTCAACATAAGCGTCGCGAGCAAGGAGATTGCCAGGATACAGCAAGCCAACATCAGATGGAGCCCTTTCCAAATTTACCATCTGTCTGTTTGGTGGAGGTTATTTTTTCTTAGTTGAATCCTGCCTTTAACGAGGGATAATTTTGTGAGCTCCGTTCGCTCATTTGCGCACTTTAATTAAATAACGTGCCTTCACTTCGATAATGTGGCAACTTGTATAGATAAATTCGTATTTAATCACTCGTATTTAATCACTCTATTGCATTTGTTAACACTGAATACTGTGTAGAGGATTAATACGTTGGTACTCATTTTAACAACCCACCATTTAGCTATTTTACTGAGCATTTATGGCAACAATTCAATAGGTTAATTTAACAATTAAAGAGTTTACACCATTGGAAACCTCATTTGCCAGTAACAAAATATGAAAATTGTTTTTTTACCCTTTTATCTGGCAACACAACTGACACCTTTTTTTACAATGAGTCATGTTTACATTGACCACAATACCTGCGGTCCGAACGCAAACAAAAAATAACGACTCTGATAATGTATGCACTGTCCTTGAAATTGATTGGTCCACACCCGAGACAGCTTTCTTTAGAGCCTCGTCTCACATGGAGTTGGACCAGAAGACGCCAAAAGGCGCACAACTCAAAGACAATGCACCATCAGAGTAGGAGAGCTCGGGGTAAGTATTTACACCATTGGAAACCTCATTTGCCAGTAACAAAATATGATAATTGGTTTTTTACCCTTTTATCTGAGTTGTGCGCCTTTTGGCGTCTTCTGGTCCAACACCATGTGAGACGAGGCTCTAAAGAAAGCTGTCTCGGGTGTGGACCAATGAATTTCAAGGACAGTGCATACATTATCAGAGTTGTTATTTTTTGTTTGCGTTCCGACCGCAGGTATTGTGGTCAATGTAAACATGACTCCTTGTAAAAAAGGTGTCAGTTTTGTTGCCAGATAAAGGGGTAAAAAAACAATTATCAATTAAAGAGTTCTTATGCAGGTATTTGTAAACTATGCATCAATATAAGTATTGTCACTATACATTGATTAATCCAGTATTCATATTTATGACATTGTGTTGTGCACACACTTATTAATTATTTATTCGTAAGTGCAACATGCAAAGAAAGGGTTGTAGGGTTGACGCGGCAGGGAGCGCACGGAGATCGTAGGCCACCAACCCGAGTTCGATTCTCAGCCATGGTCAAAACGAGTGGCGGGTGGGATCTGGAACGCTCCTGGCCTCCCTTCCACTAACCCACATTGACCAGTGTGGTGAAATATGGTCAAATAACCACCATGTATGGAGTCCTTTAGCCAGAGACTATAATTGGGCAATGCTACTGCATTATTATGTGTATATACATCTTTAAAAACATTTAAATGGGGGAAAATAAATTTCTTTGAATTCATCAGAAAAAACAACCTTTTTTTCGGTGAATCTCTCAACTTGTGACTCCCCAACACCCAGAGCAAATCCACTCAATGTGGGCAGTCATACCGAGAGGCAGCTGTAGGGATGTCGCGAGAATTCAAAAAATGTGTCGGGGAGATGGGAATGCGCGTTTAATTTACTCCATGCTGCGTCGTTTGAAATTCAGGCATGTCCTCGTGATCCCAACTTTCCCCCCCCCCTCGTGCCCCCGCTCTGAAGCAAAAAAAGGAGTTTCAGCAGATGTGGAAAGCTGTTGAAATCTTTTCAAATATTTTTTTAACATTCCTACTCGCTGTCCAGTCAAAACCGATCTCGATCTGTGCATGGAGCTCCTTCGTGATTTGCGCCGCCGAAATTTTTGTTTAAAAAAAAATCCTATTTTCCTTCAACTCGCTTTCTTCTGAGCAATGAAAACCACAGTCGGAACAGTAAACAGCGGTGGCCAGACGGACGGAAAACCTCGGTTACTCAACGCAAGTGCGTTTTAAAACGTTCCGCGTTTTGCTTTGTCGAAAAAGGGGGGGGGGGGGCGGGGGTGTGTGGGGAGGAAATAGCGCAGTGCACATTAGACAGGTGCCGTCGTCATAGGTGGCGCGAGGCACGAACAAATTAAACAAAATCTCAGGAATCCAAACAGCTCAGAAGGTCCTAGATTAATGTAAAAAAAATAAGGGAATAGCCGAATATCAGCCCCGAATTCAGATCCTTATAAATATAACATACAAATCCAATAAATCTCTCTTATCTTGTCTGCATCTCTTTTTTTTTATCCTGCTTCATATATTTTTTGTCGCTCTCGTTTTATGACATAACTAACCAACCTCAAAATAGAACATCTAATTGTTGCTCTCCATCAGCCATTTGAAAAATCTGTACTACGTAACCGTCTCATCTGCTCATCTCTTCTCTCATCTCAATACGTCGCCATCACTCATCTATACCTCTGACATCACTACATCTCTGCCTCATCTGTATCTCTCGCCTCCCATCTCAATACATCTCTATCACTATTCTAAATCTCTTATGTCATCCCAATAGAAGTTTCTAAGTTTAAAAGAGAGCCGCCCCCCCCCCCCTCCCCCCAACGATAAATTTAAAAAAAGCCTCCTACTTAGGGGGCCCCCCTTCTATGGACCGGGCACTAACAGCGGCCATCACGAATGGAAGGGCAGTGCACAAAGCCCTTCCGTCAGGGGGGCCACGTGCAGAGGCACGGTGAGCCGCAGGGTCGGTACGGAGCCGCCCCCCCCCCACCCCCCCCCCCCATGCTTGCTTCATGGAACCAAACCCCCCACCCCCCACACAACTGGGCTCTAATAAACAAACACTGAGACAGTAGAAACTTTAAAAAGCTCAGACGCCTGCGCATATGGAAACAACTGCCCAGGCCAAGGTGCTTCAAGGTGTTTGTGCAGGTTACTTGCTCAGCAGTCCTGTAATGATTCACAAACTCCCACCCTCATCCAACTTCCCCCTCCCCCAACACCCACAACCCATCGCCTCACAATTCCAGAGTGTCAAGATCGGGGGAAGGGGGTCATGATACGATTCTCCCATTTTTTGTTTTCTCCATTGCGGTGACGTTAGCGCCTCGAGTGGCTGCGTGGGGGGGGGGGGGGTCACGCTAACCGATTGCCAATTGCGCGCAACGTACTGTACGAGGAGCAGTGGCGCGGTAACTACGAACTCAACCCCTTGGTCAATAACACCGTGTGTGGCCTTACAGGGCAACATCAAAATTAAATATATATGTACGTAACGGGCAACGTGTCGGGCCAATGGCCCTTCTTCACAGCACATGAAGGAATAAGGGCCTGAAGTGTCGCCTATTGTACAGTAGTTTAACACGTAGGCTTTCGCGACTAATCCTATTCATGATAGAAGTTTTTTGGGTGAGATCGTGTAAATATAAATGTGTCGTTAAACCCGCCACCACCCGACAGCCAATTCGTGAAGGTTTTTCACCTGAGCATGTTTACGTGACAAATTGGCACGTTCTGTTGACGTGACAAACCTTACGAATTGGCCGTGTCGGGTGGTGGCGGGTTTAGCGGCACATTTATATTCATGCGATCTAACCAAAAGAAAATCTCGATTGAGGAAATTATACCGTAGTTAGTGCTCCACGGCTGTGAACCCGGCAAGTCGACTTTGGTTCCCGGAAACGAGTGCAACACCGGCGTCGAGTGACCTCTGAACTGGCGCGCAAAGCCCTTGCGTCAGGTGGCGTTCCCTCTTTCCCCCTGGTATTCCCTCATCAAAATCATAATATTCATTCATACTGGAGGAATGCGATGAGCTATGAAGCTCTTTTTCACAGATGTCCAGTAAGGGGGCACTGGGTCAGAACGTTAGAACAACAACGAAAAAACCCGACCGGAGTGCAAAGTATAGGAAAGGCAAGAAAATCACTAAAAATATAGACAAATAAAACTAAACAATTTTTGTCTCTCCAGGTAAAGCCCACTCAGCTATTAGCTTCTTTTCAGAAGCGACCTGGCCACAAATTATAGCTCAGGGGTTAGCAACCAAAACAACAAAAAGAGCCATATTTGTTTAAATTCGGTAAAAAAAAAAAAACCCGAAAATAATTCAAGAGGCGCAATGCACGTTAACGCGAGACGGTGGTCCTTCATAAACGACGCGTCACGAAGCAGTGTCGATATCGGCCGCACGCGGCTCCGAAGCCGCAAGTTGCCGACCCCTGTGACAGCTCAACAAAGAGCCTACCAAGTGGAGATTTATAGCACCCCGCCCCCCCCCGTCGTCGTCATCATCATCATCGTCATCAACTCTCCGCAGCACCAAGCCGGGCCCGGCGGGCGACACACGGACTTGTGGGGTCACCTCGTCGTCGGCCTGCTGCAGGCGGGTGACGGAGTAGCGGCGCACGGTGGGGTTGGTGAACTGCGGCGAGAGCAGCTCTAGCGAATCCTCCACATCCATTGGCTTCCAGCGCCCGAGCAACTCCAGCGCCTGCTTGGCTTCCTGCGCCAGGGACCAGTTGACGCACTTGAGGAACTTGGTAAGCGCCTGTTGGCGAGAGGACGGGGCGGGGCGGGGGGGAAAGGGATGCAGTCACGAGCGCCGTCACAGCGATATCGCTCCTCTTTACCGAACCGCTGCTGGATGAGAGTCTCCCCAAGCCGCGGACGTTACGTATGTACGTACGTTGAGCTTCTTTCGCACCCGTATGTTTGCCGACTGTGCTAATCGGATGTGCGGGGAGAGGGACAAACTAAAAGACAAAAAGCAGTTCTAAAACTCAAAGAAATTCGTTTTCAATCTACAGTAGAACCTCGGGAGATCGAACGCACCTGAACTCGAACAAATCGGTGTTCGAACGATATTTCCGAACATTTTTTGCCCCGGAAACCGAACGAAATTCGGAGGTCGAACGGGGCAATCGCGACTTGAAAGAACCTGTACACGGCTGAGACGCGTATGGCCCAGCGTGCACGACGATTGCCCAGACAAATGTTTTACCACCTCCTCCTCGTCACCACCTTCCACTCAAGCCATCAACTCTCCCCTTACTACAGGTAAAGTGAAGTTCAATGTTCATTTATTTCATTTATTCCATATATTTATTCAATTATTCCATTTATTTATTGTTTCTTGTTTTTTGTATGATTTCATGCAAGTAATTACTGTACACTTCGTGTAAAAATGCTTTATAATGAGAGATTTCTTGCCTCTGCAACCAATTAATGTCATTTACATTAATTCTTATGGGGAAAATTAATTCGGTGTTCGAACAAATCGGTGTTCGAATGGCCTTCTGGAATTAATTCAGTTCGATCTCCGGGGTACCACTGTACATTGAAAAGTGAGCAGCTACAGTGTCTTCAAAACATCGGAAGGAAGAGTGTTACAGACGGCCGCAGAAGGGTTTTTGGCTCATACTCCAGGTTGGAGCTCAGGGACGGTTCAGATATTACTTTCTCACCAATGTTAGCCATGGCCGGGAATCGAACTCGGGTTGTCAGGTTCACAAAGCAGCGGTGGCTGACCCCCCCGGAACGCCTATCCACCTGTAACTTTGCTGACCCACCCATACTGGACATTTGTGAAAAAGAGCTTCATAGCTGATCGGATTCCTAAAGTCTAAATAAAGATTCTGATTCTGAACTTGTTTATTAATAAGTGTTCATAATTATGAACACTGTATTAAAAGTAAAAGCAGTAGGCTTAATAATGTGTCTATGAATGTCCCTTCTATGACAATCATAACACTGTGGAATGTCCCATGTTATGTAAAAAAGCAAATAGCTTTGGTGGTGTGATAGGCAATAGATTCTGTTTCTGCCCATTCCTTGTCATTTTGCTCAAACCTGGGTTTGTCCCCTGACCACTAACATGTTATGAAGCTTTTTCCATTTCAGAGTCGAAGCTTGGCACAAGGCACGATGGTGATATCATAAACCATTTTAAATTATTATTAGTGATGGTTGTGGTGTTCCATTACATAGGGGCATCTGCACTTAGCTAATGTAAGCCGAATTTGAATGCGCCTTCTTATTGTACTTTAGAATAATAAAATAAATGTAATTGGTTTCGGCAATGGAACAGGAAATAAATAAAATATAACTAGTCTCATTGTCTCGTCCATTAACACATTATCTGTGATTATAATGCTCATATTCAGCCAACATCTTTAGTGCTACGGATTTCATAAAAGATGTATCTGAATCCACTTATACATCTAAAATGAAAAGCAAACAGTGCAGGGAAAGCAGAATGTATCAAAAAATCAGCCAAAATAAATCACCTTTCCAAAGTGCTCTCGTCGCGAAGGCACGACATGACCTGGACAGCGTGGAGGGGGTGCATTCAATTTCGTGGAACGACTTTGGCGAACTCTGCCTCGGCAATACCACGCAACGGTGAGCAACACCGCACGTTCTGGACAAGGTGAAGAAAGCAAGAGATAGTGGGGATCGCACACCATTCGCCATCCGTCCCAACGCGGTGGAAGACGGACGTGGCCGCGGCCGCGGCCACGTCCGCGGGGTGGCATCGACGGAGCTGGAAATTGTCGACGAAGCGACTTTCAAATTGAAAGCGTGGCATTTAAATGCAAGGCACCGTGCCTGTGTTGATTTCGCTTTGCGCAGAGCGTTTCGTTTCTATGAGCGGTCGATAGCTGCCAACTGTGGCGAAACAAACGTGGGTTATTTAATGGGTACCTTTTCCACGGTATTCAATGTACGTTTCGACTGTGGTGATGGGGGGGGAGATCGTTACAAACTCAAAATAAGAGCTTGATGTACGCATGCATTAATCTGTGAAGTATATGTGCGCGTGTGTGCATGATCTCCTGTGTAATCAGCGGTCGGGGAAAACAAACGAAAAATGCCATGACTGCCGCTGCTGCAGACAAAAAAAAAATCGGTGAAAAATTTCCACGGGAATTTTTGCGTTGAGGGGTTTCTAAACAATCGACGCACAGGTTGTGAGTGTGAAGTGTTTTGTTTTTTGTGTTTTCCGCCTGCCCGCTTCGTTTTAATGCATTATATTTTTTTTATTCCACGAATGATTTGATTGGGGTCCACTGCGCCCCGGTGTAGGCCACTTGGTAAAAATGTTTCCTTTCATAGAGGTCGCACTCTGTCCTATCAAATACACAATTTTGATATGGTTTAGGAAATCCGCTGTAAATCCGTTTACCGTTGTTCTGCCTGCCACATATGCTCTCATTAAGCCTGTATGAATACCACATGGGATTTGACAACAGTGGCATGAAGTATCATAAAGGATTGTGGAGAAAAGGAGGCTTGTTTTTGGACAATGCCTATATATTTTTTGACTGGTTTTAACTTTTTCTTTCAAACGAGGTGACAGAGGCCTTTTTGACTACACATCAGTTTTTTTCAAGAGATGCCTGGGAAACAAAAGGAAAATGCAGGAATTTAAAAGGCATCGCACAGCAGGACACTTACGTATATAATGAAGGATCCCTGAAAATTCGAATTCACGGCAACCACCAGAGGTGAACAAAATGAACAGAGAAAAAAAGTATAACATTCGGATGAGGTAAGAAAGAACACGGTTGAAATGTGGATGCACTCAATGTTCCCAAGCAGTTGAAGCAGGGAAGACCGAGCAAGTGGGAACACTCATTGTAAAGGATAATTCAAATTGTTAAAAAATTTAGCATTTGTCCTTTGAATGGATTTTAGAATGGGTATTTGAGGAACAATCGCAACATTTTTATTACACTTTTATTTAACTGACTGTCTGTTGTATCCTCAAATATTGTAACTCAATTCTAACCCACTTCCCAATGTGGTATCGACTGCAAACTTGGTATACTTATGTCATACCGATGACAATACTATATTCTATCATTAAAAAAATATATATAAAACAATCTTTTTTATATGTTATGTTTCGGCTTGGGTCTAATTGTCCACGGTCAACTCACGTTGACTGTAAATCACCACGGTCCCTTACGTTATGGCAAGCTTCGGGGCCACTTCCTAGAGTCGTGGAGTTCTGCCATTACTCGTATGGTACATTCCATTAAAGCGTGTTTTAAAAAAAGTATTTTTTAATATTGCTTATTTACATTTCACATTAGAACCACCACCATTCGAACAAAATCCCCCAAAATAGGTCATTAAGACCTCGTTTCAACTTTCCGCCGTGAAATTATTCCGACGGTACCATCGGCGAGTGGCCATATATTTTTTTATTTTCAATCAACAAATTTTGTGCCACTTGGCTGCATACACAAACTATTTTAACGGAACGAAATTGCTTTGCTCTCAGATTAATGAGATTAAATTGGCCATGACATTAACACGGTGGCCCTAATCCCATGCAGGGGGGGTTGGCGTGCCGGGGACTTTTAAAGTTTGACTCGGAGCTTAATGATGGTGGCCCCTCTCCCCAAAACCCCAAGAAGCTGCTGCCTATAACCCGTCATAGGGGACTGCGATTGGGCTTTGATCTACCAAACTTCTACCTTTGATATTACCCTCTTCACCCCCTTCCCACACGCCCCCCCCCTCACCGCCCCCCAACCCTCAGCGCCTGCCCGAAAATCATAACTTATTCATATTGCATGCACAAACAGATATTGTGGCACTGCCACACACACGCAAATGAGATAACTCCTTGAAGCAGAAATAACAAGAAAGGAAACCTTCAACGTTTAATCAAATTAATGACCGACTTGATTGACAAACCAATCGCGGGAGACGCACGGTCGAGACAAAACGCCGCATTAAGATGTAACTACGTTAAAAAGCCGAGCACCCAAACGTAAGTGCTCTCAGTGTATGAAGAGTTGCGGGGATGCGGGCGGGGGGGGGGAAATATTGAGAGCCTTGATCTGAGCGGCACTCAGGAAATATCAAGGGTGCTGAGACACGCCGATGAAAAGTTCAATTTGGGTAACCGCGCAATAAAATGTTGCCTTCCGTTTTTAGTCTTCTCTTCTAAGAGCGACCGTGATGAATAATTCACAAGGTTAAAGGCAAAAGAGTCAAGTTCAAGTACAAAGTTGACATGAAAGATGAACGGTTAATTTCTAAAACTTAAAATTCAGTCCAATGCTAATAGTATTTATCTGCACAATTCAAATACACACGGTGTATATAATTGGGCCAGAATGATTTGCCACCCTTAAATTTTTTTACATATTATCAAAAATGCATGGTTGAGATTTGATTGGAGAATGGATTTTTTTTTTACTTTAAAATCCTGTGGTGCGTTGCAATTGTCACATGAACCAACTACAATCATATGAATATTAATGAGACCGACTCTTACACGCTTGAGCTTAACAATCGATTTAACAGATGACTCCACGTAGGCCTAGCGTGTAACTGTTAAGACATAACGTGGAGGTAATTTGGCCATACGTCACACTCATCAGTGTGGGTTAATGAATGTGGGCAGCATGACACATGTGGATGGAGAAGTATAGTACAACAATGGATTATGCTGCACTGCCTTCTGCTGCACACCAGATAGCCCAGCAGCCCATAGCACCTGTTATGCATGGTGGTCACCCATCAAAACAA